TGAACCACAAGATTACTTTCTATTATCTGTATCTTTGTCAGACCTTTATGGAGAATGGAGATGTTTTTCTATGATTAAATCTGTCACTATGGACAGCAAAGTGATACTGAGCCAAACGGCTATACAGAAAAAAAAAAATATATATATATATAGAGAGAGAGAGAGAGAAAGAGAAAGAGAAAAACATATAACAGCAGCTAGTTGTATGTATTACATTTTTAAAATCTGTGACTAATCCAAATAATGAATTATGAAAAATGTTAATATATCAATAATACTACTAATAATAGTGTAGTATTTTCCTTCATAGAGGAATTGATGGAACATATTTTCAGATACCTAGCACTGTTCTGAGGCATTTGTATTTATTTTTAATATATTTAATATTAAATATAATTTTAAAGTATTTTAAGGTCCACTGCCAAACAGTCCAAACTCACAATCATTTATGAAATATTGGCCTGACAGAAAGAGATCAGTGAATCTGGTAGAGGAATTAGACTGACTGTGTTACTGCAAACCAAATACTGTATATAAGTCAGCGCTAAGGTTGTTGCGTGAGGTCACCAAGTGATGAGAGAAACCAACTCTCTGCTTACTCTATAACCGCAGTAGTTCCAAACTTCCTCAGGCATTTACATCAGCACAGAAACAAGACGCCAGGAGCTCCATGACACGGACTTCCATGGCTGAACAGCTGCAAGCAGCCAGCCTTGCATCACTGAGCACCGCGTGGAGCGTGGAGTTAAGTGATGTAAACTACACCGCCTCTGGACACTGAAGCATTTTACAAACCTTCGTTGGATTGACACATTTCACATTATCACATTTCTCTATCAGGCAATCTGACGGATGAGTCTACGTTTGGCCATCGCTGGGAAAACTTGACTTCAAACGTAAAGGTTACTGAGTAAAAGATGTGGAATAAGAGTTTCAGTTCTTAGTAAACAGATTTTCTTTGGCTTCCAGTGGACTTTAGATAAGTCTGTGTCTGTGAGCTTCCAAAAACTGTGGCAACACTTTGGGGAAGGCTCCTTTTCTTTTTCTGCCTGGCCGTGCCTCAGTGCACAAAGCTAGATCCATTAAGGCACAGTTGGCTGGGGTTTGGGCTGGAAGAATTTGTCTTGCTGGCAAAGAGTCCTAACCTCACTCCATCAAAAAGCCTTTTTGGATGATCTGGAGAGCTGGCTTCTGAAACACCACCTTCTAACCTCACAAATACTCTTAACGTCCAAAAAAACCTTCACAGAAAAAAAAACAACTTTGTAGAAAGCTTTTACGATAAGTCATACGTGTCAAACTCAAGGCCCGGGGGCCAAATGCGGCCCGCCAAGCCGTTTTTGTGTGACCCGTGGGAGCTTAAAAAGCATTTAGTAAAGTCCATGCAGTGGAGTTTCTTAACCTATGAAAAGTTGTTTTTTTTATTACTCAGCGATGAACAATGTTTTTAGTTTAAATCAAATTAAACAAATAATCAATTGCAGAAACTTGTATTACTCTGTTATGGAGTAGTTGTTTGGTTCCATGAATTTTCAAAATAAAATATCTTTTAGACTCTATTCTATCAAAGTCTGAATGACTTTTATTTCAAAATTTTGCCAGATTATCTTTAAATAAAGAAAGTAACTGGATATGACTGGATTTCCTTTGAATGAAGTACATTTGTAAAAATTAAGCACATTTTCTCACTGCGTTTTTCTCAGTGCGTCCCGGTACCAAATTGCCTATGGACTGGTACTGGTCGGCGGCACCCGATCTATATAGACTTTTTACAAAACTCTTACAAAAACACTGGCTGTTTTGGCCCAATCACAAATGAGAGATAAACATTTAATCTTTTTAATTAAACAAAATGGCCACATCTTTTCTGAGCCTTTGTAAAAACAGCCACACTGGAGACACTCTTTGGAGGCACAGTAAAAGTTTCTCTCTCAGTAAAGCTCCTTGGACTAAATTTCAACAGCCACTTCTAACGAAAAATGTTTAAACGACTACAGATCACTGATCTAAATAAATAAGTATCATCCAGAGGAGACGTTCCGATTCCTATCTCAACTACAAGAGCAAATGTGTGATTACATCAACCGTGCGAGTAAATCCCACTCTCAGACGAAGTGCAGATTGACAGATGCTTTTCATCTATTTTTCATCAGCGTCGACACATCATTAAACTGCTCATTTACAGATTCTTGACCTTGTGTTAATATCTTTGATTAAATCATGCTAAAACACACCACGCTGTTGCGGAAGTGGCCAAACAAACTTCTTTTTTTTTCTGTTTAAGTGGTTTCATTAAAACAGTTTCCTAAATTAGGCTCACAAAAACTTAAAGGGACACACTCAACATTTAGGACGGTTCAACATAATTAAAAAAGCCTTAAAGGCCGTGGACAGTGTTACTGTACATCTTGATATTTTCCCCTAAAATATAACAAAGCCAGACATTCCAAATCACACACAGGGATTTTATTTTTACAATAATGCACATTTTTTAATATCTTTAATATCATTAAATCATGCTAAAACACACCACGCTTTTTTTTGTTAAAGAAAACAAACTTCTTTTTTTTTCGGTTTAAGTGGTTTCATTAAAACAGTTTCCTAAATTAAGCTGACTAAAACTTAAAGGGACACGCTCAACATTTAGGACGGTTCAAAATAATTTTAAAAAGCCTTATAAGCCGTGGACAGTGTTACTGTACATCTTGATATTTTCCCCTAAAATATAACAAAGCCAGGCATTCCAAATCACACACAGGGATTTTATTTTTACAATAATGCACATTGTTTAATACCTTTTTTTTGTTAAAGGCCACATCAGCAAAACTAACAGAATTAAGAGGAACAAATATAAGACCGGCATAACTAGGACTGATCTCAAATCCTAAATTAACTGTCAAAACAGTGTCTTATTGATTGACTGACTGAAAACTGTCAATCCACCAACCCGTTGGGGGTTGACTAATATAAAAATGCTAATGAGGGAGATCACTGCGGTATAAATCATGCCACGGGACATTATTATTGATCGGACACATGTGGACGTGGTTTAGGAGAACAGATGAACCTGAGTTTAATTTCACTTCACTTTTAAATTCACTGACGGGACACGGAGACACACAGACGCTGTTAGCTACGACGACCCTCGGAGCCTTTCACGGGTCAGGAGAAATAACAATGATTGATGATGCATCACTACCAATGAGGAACCTCAAAGACTTTCAAGGATTCTTAAGACACACCAAGGCCCTGAAGACTTTTTCAGGCAATTAAAGGACACACACACACCCACACACACACACTTTGATTAAGTGACACCTTGTCAGCACAACGGCCAAAGAACGGCTGCATCCGCAGCTCCGCTCTGCTGTCCTACGGGCTCTCAGGAGTTCTTATTTCATACTTATTTGATGAGGATTTCACGACTGTGTGTTGTCAATGTTTCCTCTCAAACTCAACCACTAAGTTCAAACTGTCACATTTAAGGAGCCGTTTATTTCCTATTTAAGACATCGTTCACCCTCCACTCCTCATAACCCCCTCGTCTTCCTCCAGCAAATAGTCTCTCTGCCATTATAAGATCTCTTCTTCCCCGTTCCTCATCTCACCCAAATGCCAAATTTAACTCTGTGTACCTCATTCTTTTCCTTTGACCTCTTCCCTGCCACCACTTTTACCTCCCATTATGCTTCCTATCTTCTCTGGCATGCCTTTTTGCCAACCTTTCTTCCTCCTGTTGATCTGTTATTTCGTTCTTTCTCTTTCACCTTCTCTCTGTGCCCTCCGTCTTCATTCCCTAGGGGGTATTATCTCAGTCAGAGGCAAATCTGCCCAATTATAAACCCCTTCTCCTCTCTCTCTCTCGCTCTCTCTCTTTCTCACACGCACACTCACACACGCGCACACACACCTCTGTCTATAGAGACAGGAGCAGAGGCACAAATACATTCACACAAACACAAACACTGCTCTTCTTCACTGTCTATTTCACACAGTCACACACACAAACACACACACACCTCTCTCTCCTTCGTTTCTGTCACACCTTAAAAAGCCAATTATACACGTTTCCTCCCTTCTCCCCTCTTTCTTGCCATCACCCAACCAATCTACACTGAACCACAATGAGGCGAGTGCAGAGAGGGGAGATGTAGGAGGAGTCCAAGAGGAGGGTAGAGCGAGAAACTGGGAAGAGGGGAAGGGAGAAACGGGTGAGGACAAGTGTAGAATAGTGTAAGATAGGAGAAAAGGAGTAATAAGAGACAGGGGACATGTTAATATAGTTTGTGAGGGAAGTGGGTAAGGAGAAAAGGAGAGAGGAGGTGAGGAGAGGACAGAGGAGGTGAGGAGAGGAGAGATAGTGTTAATTGGCCAGCAAGTATTAGTGCTTGGGTTGACAGTTTCCTGTTGAGAGGAGGTGATTGGATGATAATGATGCTGACTACTGAACTGTTGTACTGCTGACCCAATGGAAATAGAGGGAGGGGAGGAGTTAGTGGTGACTGTTTGTGGAGGAATCAGGGAAGGGAGGAGATGATCGACAATCAGATAGAAAAATAAGGAGAAATAAACAGAGAAAGAGAGAGAAAGAGAGAGAGTTTTTAACTTGTGTTGAATGAACATTAGTATGAACTTAGTATAATAAAGTATAATTCAGTGTATGCAAATTTGATTACATAATAAATAACAATTCAAATTTGATTCCATAATAAATAACTAAGGAAAGGATCACTAAATCCTAGAAAGGTACAGATTATAGAATCAGTAGCACAGTAACTAATGCTGAAGACACGTCTGCTGACACACTGTCCAGTACTTCATTCCAAATATGCTGTAGTACTGAGATTGCAGAAGGAAGTACATGACAGGAAAAACTGCAGAGGTATGAGAGACGGCACCAGGACAGATTCATCTTCCTTAACTTCACACAAACAGATGTCGGACGGACTGTACCTGCGTGATGGAGCGGCTTCAGGTCTGAGGTTGTGTCTTCTGTGAGGTTACACAGCAAAGCAACCGCATTCTGGACCACGACGCTGCCAGTTTCTTTACTGCTGTTAGCCTAGAGAAAAGAAGAAAAAACGACACACGTTAAAATGTCTTCCACTGAAGCTAATGCTAAAGGGCAAATGTGATTTGAAAATATTTAAAATATTAAAAAATAAAAAAGCACAATCAGAGATGTCTTAACCCAGTACAGGTACATAAGAAGTATACTGGTCGTAGACTTGCCAATAGCTCGAGTATTGACCTTCTATTTGTTTAGGTTTGTGTTCAGTTCTTTTCCCCAGTGCTGCCCCTGGTGGAGTGCACCACCATGCACGTCTTTGTAGACGGTTAAAAATAGAAACATCAGAAGCAGTTTCTCTGCACATTTATCCCAGAGTCTTGTTTTTCCCAGGGGCTCTCATTAAACACATATCTGTTAAAGCACTGGCAGGACAAGGCACATCACAGATTAGATCAATTACTGATAACAGTCAACCAGTAAAAAAAACCATAAATGAATGGATGAAAAAAGAAATGAGCAGAAAATAACCTTTTCATTTAAACACGCTATCGACCTTCAAATGTATGTGTGTAGTATATTAATTTGAGCAAATGACACAATTAATTCATCAGAGATGGTGTGGAACTGCAGCTCGTGGCAGCAGACTGTTTCAAAAATGAAACAAGAAGTCAGGTTTCAGCTCTACTGCTTTATTATTTTTTACTATTTCCTTCCACTCTCCTTCCTCCTCATTTGCCTTTACTTCCTACCATCAATTCTTCTCCAGTTCCATCTCTGCAAAAAAAAAAAAAAAAAATTCTTCCTTCCTAATTCACTATCCATTTTCTCTTCTGCCCTCATTTCACTATTTGATCCTCGGAGATACGCCAGCTCTGCCTGCGGGGTCTTTGCACATCAGTGTGATCTGTGTACGGACTGATAAGCCTGACTGGTACTCATCATCCGCAGTAGCCCGAGGCTGAAGACAGTGACATCAATCCGCAGGCAGGATGACGTGCCTGTCAGTAACAACAAATGACAGAGCTGAAATATTTTGATCTTAATGGGCTAACAAGCCAAGAAATGACTTTATGAACCGCACTTAAAACAAATACCCGAGTAACAAACAACCACGAATAGCAAACAAAACACACACACACACCTTTAATTAGGTGAGGTGCTGTCCTTCCTCTCAATTCACAGAGATTAAATGAGAATATATGGGAATAATTGTAAGATGGAGGAGGTTGTACCTGTGGCAGCTGTAAAGGAGGTAGGATCTGGTGGTAAACCACTCTAAACAGCTTCCTGTGCCCTCGGGCTCAGCAACCAAACAATTACAAGCCTCGGTCTAATCAGCTTCCTGGGGTTGTTTCACGTCTGAAACAGGACTACTTCATCATCTAGACAAATACAATTAGGTGAGTTTCCCTGTGACAAGTGTGATCACCGCTGGCAGGTGCAATCAAACCAGATCAGAGTGTTTTAGGCAGCATAAATCAATCTGGAATGTGAGCGGTGCAGAACGACACTAATGGATCCTGACACCACTGCCTCAGACAGGAGTAAACAATCAGGAGAAAAGTTAATCAGGCTGCTGGGTAACAGTGTTTAACATTCTGCATCGGCTAGCCGGGGCTGGACAGGCAGCCATGCAGAACACTGATTATTAAGTGTGTGCGTGTGTGTGTTTGGCAGAGCACCAGTGTTTTGATTCTCTCCAAACACTAGGTGCCGTGTATGTTGGCAGGTGGGCATTGGCTTGTTTGTGTGAGTGTGTGTGCGTATGCAAAAAGGGTCAGGTGAAAATAATTTGCTGGAAAACGTTGCTATACTTCAGCGATAACAGACAAGTGTGTGTACGTGCTACGTGTGATCCTTCCTTGGAGTGTGTATTCACACTCTGTCAACCCTTCCTCCTCTCTACTACTGACCTGCCAGTCAATTACTTCAGGCCTCTGAGAGGTCAACAGCACTCAGGCTCATTTACATAAATACATCTATGCACTTAGAGAGCGGAACACAAGAAGTAGGAGCTGCAGAAATGGAGCTTTATTATGTCAGAACATGGAACTACAGACCTGATTTGATTTGTGGACTCTGAGGCTGTTCGCTGACTTGATGAATACCCAACTAACTTAGTGATTGGCAGAACTTAGCTGAATGATTAATTACAGTTTGGTTTCTTACCGTAATGAGCTGAAAAACCGTTGGCAGGATCCTGCTGCTTTTGATCAACCTGAAAAGTGGTGTAAAAAAAAACAAAACAACAACAATAAAACACTGGGTCGGCGTTGGAAAGGTGGGTGAGACACAAATTTAATTTGGGAGGCAATTTGCTGCACATGCATGCACAGCGGACGGTTTCATCTTCATTATGGTCCAAGTTCCGCTACAATGACTTCTGTCTGGTACAGCAAAATCACTGAGTGTGGAGAGACTAAGAGAGAATGCATGGTGAGAGCAGATGAAGTTTAAAAAAAAAAAAAAAAAAAAAAAAAAAAGAAAGAAAGCTGAGAGAGGAGAAGCAGTGACTCAGGAGGAAGAGATGAGATTTATGGGGAAGATTGGGAGAGGGGAGATTGCATTTGGTGATGAAGAGGAAGAAGGGAGTGTAGAGGAGGGACGAAGATTTGGGCAGAGAACAAAGGAAGGACAGAGAAACAATTTGGAGGAAAGAAAAGGTAGACATAGGAACGGAGGAAGAAAAATGAAGTACGCCTATCTCTGTATAAAAATGGTACTCTGACCATGGACTAATTAAGGTCAATATCTAATTGCGTTAATATCAAAAACATTATTCTGTAGGCAAGGGAAAAAAGATCTTTTAAAAGTAAGATGAGTTTTTATACAGTTTAAAATTGAACACTGAAGAAAAGTTTCATCCCAGAATCACTTTCTTTACACGCTGCAGGGAAACTCAGCTTTTGTTACTGGTTGTAAAACTGACCAGGACTGGCTAATGGGCAGCTGGGCTGTTCAATAGTTATGGGGCCTGGACTAGACGGTTTGGACTGCTAGGGCAATTCTCATAGTGAAATGTCACAGACATTCTCCAGCTTTCATCCACTTGAACAGAATCCGGCGTTGCCAGTTACCCCTTGCGTGACCTCATGACCTCGGGCAGTGAGTGTAACTTTGACATTTTTGTTATTTCCACTGACCTGCTCCCTCAGTGGTGTCTGCATTGCATGGATTGTTCATTATAGACATTCTATTGGCCTGTGACACCTGTCTGACCTCAACAATGGAAAAGTCAGTCAGATTAAGGAGAATTCAAATGAAGGTTGCTTTAAAAAAGGTTCACATATAAACGTGGCCAGATCGATGTTTTTGACAGCATCATAATAAATCAAATATGGTTCACATAGTGGCATAAAAAAAGAGAAAAAAATATTGGGCCACGTTTATGTGCAGCTGGAAAATTCTTGAATGGAATGTGGTCTTTATAGAACATCCTTTTTCATTCTGTAAAGCCAGCAGATAATGTGATTTTGCGAAGGTTGTGAGAAAATAAAATGTCATCTCAATTTAAGAGGCAGATGATGCATTTGTTGCTGGAGTGTGAGACACTTTTCCAGTCTGTTGCCACCTGCTGACATTTTGCACAAGTTACATTTTTCATTTAATGCCATAATAATGTTGGAGTCAGCCATATCAAGCATGCTGCCATCTGCAACAACAACACGTCATTTGTAGTGCAGGACACATTGTCTCCAGACAAGTCTATTATGACCTCACTTGTCTGTAGGAAAGACTGTATCTCCCTTTTAATCAGTAAATTCATTTAAGTTTGCTGCTCACTCACTCCACCTGAGTCGTTAACACACTCCCATATCTCATTAGTGAAACAACTGCCAATGAACCACCCTGCAGCCAGACTAGTGTCAAAGTCACCATTAGAACATATGTATAGGGTAACAATATGAATCCCCTGACAATTCCATCTCAATTCATCCTTTAGTTTTGACTTGTGCTGCTCACAGGCTGATAAATGTGTCTGACAGCGTCACGTGACCTCTGTGATGGAAGCAATGATGTATTTTATTTTCAATCTGTACATTTGGTCAGTGTGTGTGTGTGTGTGTGTATGTGTGATTGATGGCCTCCCATTAGGTCAGTGACAGGCTGACAGATGAGAGGACAGGCCGGGCCATCATGACATGATAAACTGGACATTCTCTAAAGCGCAGGCCATACATCAAAGGACGCGGTGCACACGGCACCAGACAGTGAACAGACCACACCACGACACAACGCAGCACACTGTCAATAACAGAAGAAACACCAGGGGGACGATCTATTCTGCATTAGTCACACATGATCAGATAGTGCTGCCGTCAGCTCCACGACACTGCAGCTCTGCAGCTGAGTCACAAGGGCAACACGGACGCCGGGGCATAACTAAATATTAAACTATAGTCTAGACCAGTGGTTCTCAAACTGTGGTATGCGTACCACTGGTGGTCTCTAGTGGTACTAGTAAAAAATTCCTATTTTCACATTTACATTTTCAGTTGAATAAATCTGAAACATACCATGCACAATTAATACAACATTTAAACATAAACACCTTTATAAACATGGAAGCTAACAGTGAAGGCCTCTGCTGCTGTATTCTAATGTTGGTCATCATGGTGGTACCATGGTGGAGCTCAGTGTTTTCTCAGGTGGTACAGAGTATAAAAAGTTTGAGAACCACTGGTCTATACCACTGGAGCGCTGAGCTGATTATTCACAACCCATCACCTTGACATTATAAAGTGCAGGTGATCAGTAAAACAGGCTGCCCTTAACATCGAGTGACGAAATCAACGCTCTCCTATTAGATTATGGCAAGTAGATTCCACCCTGTTGCTGATGTGGCCTCTGGTGAAAATGAGTTTGCGGCCCCTGTATTACAGGATGGATGAAGATTTCTATTACTATGCCACAAAAACTGCACTGATTTTAATTTCATTTGTTAAATCTGAATTTGTAATAACCATGTTTTAAAGTGGAGTTTTGGGAAAACACTAGAACACATTTGGCCACATCTGCAAATGCATATATATTTTCACACACACTAGCTGCAAGCATGAGGTTCTTTTGGCTAAAGGTCACAGTAAATGTAGTCGTTTGAAGGTGTGTCTGGGCTGTGATAATGTAGTGGGAGACAGCAGGCAGCCTTCCCGACGTTAATGTCCTTAATTTACCATCTAATTACCGCACGGCTGGCTTCATAGCCACACTTATCTAACCAAGACCCAGGCAATTTAATTTCTGATTGTACCACCGCAGCGATGGAGGGAGAGTTGCGGAGAGAGGGCACACGGAAAGGCAGAAACATGGACTGGTGTTAATAAATTAGAGATGGTGGGAGAAATAGATTGAGAAAGACACACGGGGGAGGGGATGTACTGTTAAGAATGTCAGAAAAGAGTGAAAGAAAAACAGAGACGTCGAGAGAGAAGGAAGTGACACCAATTTGAAAAGTTCACATCCGTCCACCAGTGTCAAGGCAAGAGGCAGTGAAGAAGAGGAGGATAAAGACAAGAGAAGGTAATTTTACTGATAAGAAAAGTAAGGACCTATTCTCTGACGATGATGAACTCTGAACTTTAAGGAAGGACGAGTGGAGTTGGAGTCGAATGAAAGTAATAAAGAGGTTTTTCAGTTATTGTGGTTAAATAGATGAAGTTTGTCAAAGGTAGAGGAGCACGAAATGATAAATTAATTTATAATTAATTCGCTTAAATGATAAGGGAAAAAAACAAGTAGTTATGAAGGAACGCATATTGAAATTAAAAACACACTCACTAAAAACCACAAACTATATAACTACAAAAGTAGACGTTTCCATCAGGCTCCCAACTGGTTCAATATAAGGCTATGGAACCACAAAGTTTGAGATACTTAATGTATGTTCGGTTTCTGGATTTAACCAGATTTTTCAGGGGCAGGAACGCCGGCCCCTACTTGTAATTTCACTAATTTGTATTAAGTGTCAGAAATGTTAACGAATAAAACAAACAGACTGAGTAGCTGGCAACATGCTGCTCAAAGTATGCCAGACGTTGTTAGTCAACATGCTGCTCAAAGTATGCCAGACGCTGTTAAAACCAAAAGATGAAGAGATGATGTGAGAGAAGAGCAGAACTGGCCGTAGAAAACTTTGGAAGAGACAGATTGTTGTCATAAAAACATAAATATATACATAAAACGTTTTATTTTTTATACAGAGTGATTATAAGTTTAGGTTAGGGTCAAGTTTTTTAATTTGTGGTTTGAGTATTAAAATGATGCCACAGTGCATTTAAAGGTTTTTCGGTCATTGTGTCAAACTTTTTTTCCTAATGTTTTCCCCTCAATTTTGTACTACATCTCTACTTGACTTCCCAACTACATCCTTTCTGAGTATCCACTACATGTATCACTCACTCTCCGTCTCCTCTCTCTCACCTTCACTATATGTTTCTGGCAGGTGCTGGAAAGAGGATCAGAGAATCAAGACCTACTGACAGCTGCTGTCAGAACCACACCTATCACGAAAATGCATACACACTGGAACAGCCGGGCCCTACACACACACACACACACACACACAGCCACTCATACACACAAACAGGTCTAAAAGACAATTTAATTATGTGCAGATTAATTAGTACTAGTCGCTCGCAGCACTTCTCGAAAATAACTTAAATGGAAATGTAAACCTCTCCTCGCATTAAACGTCTTCTTGCTTTAATGGGAGCATAAATTTGTCTTTGTGCCGTACAGTACATTAAAAGTCGGTGCCCTACACTTTCCCACAAAGGTCTTCGGGAACAGCTAATGTGCTGAAGTACAGTACATCAGCACAATATGTCAATCCCCCAACAAATGTTAGCTGATGCAGCACCTTATACCTGTTACTAAACTGATTACTTATGTAGAAAACATAGTGGGTTTTCTTTTCTAGCGGAGGGGAGTGAAAGACCATTGGCACTGGAGCAGCTCTGCTGACATTGCTATTAGATCTAAATGTGCCTGAGCTGCGTCGATAAATAATGATTACTTGTGTATATTTTGTATGTACTGCACAGTGCGGGATAAATAAATCAGTACCGCTGCTGGTGGTACATTTTTGTGCATTTAAGCAGGTGTGTGTGCATGGGTTTGAATAACTATTAGCAATGATTCACGGGAGTAAAGTGTGGATGACTGGCCATGGCATGAAAACACAGCACAGAGAGTTGAAAAAATGTGAAGAGAAAACTACTTTTTTTTTTTAAGAAAAGTTGGTCTCATCAGATTGTGAGCACAGCCTTGATGGATGTGTTATTTAAAAACCACTGGTCTATGGTGATAACAACTGAGAAAACTCCATTAGTTCCAGTATCGTCAAATTTACATTTTATGAAGCATTATCAGTGATGTGGTAACTTTGTCTTTTTCTTTTTAAAAACTGATGTGGTAACTTTGTCTTTTTCTTTTAAAAAACACTATTACTGTGTGTGTGTGTGTGTGTACTGTACCTGCACATCAACTTGCTGTATTCAGTCATTGATACGAGCAGTTTGAGAGCGTAGAGTGGAACAGGCTCCGCTGCTTCAAGCAGAGACTCGTACCTAAACACAAACATTCATGAGTTCAACATTTGGCATTAATTATTAATGCACTGTTTCTGATCATTAGTCACAGAGTGTAAACTGCAACGGATAGAGAGAGGGAGGTAGAGAGTGAGGGAGGGAGATGAAATGTTTGGGAGCTAAAGGGAGGAAGAAGAGTGAACAACATGAACAAGAGGAAAAACGCTTGAAAAAGTTAAAAGAGCGAAAAGGATTTAAAATAATAATGGTACAGCAGTATAGACAGTATAGATCCATATACAGTTTGAGGTGTCAAGGAAAGTGAGAAACAAACCATAAACCGTCAACGCCTGTTATGTTTTATTGTAACTCTGTCAGGATGTAAAACCTCTGCAAACTGCATTTGGCTGTTTCTGCTCGGCACAGTTTATGTGATCACTGGATAAAAAACAACTCATAAAGATGGATTCTTGTCTCGGAAACAAAACGAGTCCAAAAAGAAGAACAGAAGACAGAACAAGGTGCAACGTTACCTGGATTATTCTATTACAGGGAATAAAACTACTCATATTCCAATTTTACAACACTGTGAGTGAAACAATATCTTCTACTTCTACTGCTGCAGCTTAGAATCATTAATCATTGTAGCAGAGATCATATTGTCAAAGGAAAAGTCAAGCCATATATGTCCTCATAAAGGAGCACTTGCTTTTTGAAAGTGAATAACTCTTACTTCCTACCACTCTGCCTTGATACATATATGTAAATATCGGTGTTGTCAAATGATTAAAACTTTTAATCAAATGATTAAAACTTTTCTTCTCATTTATCACAGGGCGGCTGGGGATTAAGTACAATTGATTTTAATTACCTCGTAATAAAAGTCAAGCATGATTAATTCCTAAATATGGCAAAACAAAGAGACAAATAGCAGCAGGTAGATGTATGTGTTTCACGTCTGATTTTATTTGTGACTAATCCAAATGATGGATGAATTAATATAGAAAATGTCGATATAAACATGCAATATTTATGACTCAAAATGTAGTTATATGAAGTCGTGGGGTTTGAATTAATGCTGTACATATTGATGGCGACTTGTAGAATGTATTTAGAATTGATCAACAACATTAATCAGTCTACAGTCCCTCGTAATCCATTCGGATCAGTCTACAGTCCCTCGCAATCCATTCGATTCCACTTTGTCAGTCAGTTTTGTCAGTCGACACAGTTACTGCCCTGCGCTCGGTGAGGCTGGTCTGATGCAAGCTGGCGGTCTCACCTGAAGACACGGCTTTAACAAACACATGCTGGGAGCTGAGATGATCTTTTAGGCTCTAGGTGCTTTGTGAAACAACAACAACTTCTACAGCCTGTGCAAATAATAACATGTGTATCGCCTGTGTATAAGGGCAACGAAAGGTGGAAGGCTGGAGGGATCCATCCTGCCCATGTTAAAACCAGCAGCAGCTCGGTGCTGGTTTCCCTTCTGTCTCTAGAGGACGTCACTGTGGTTAATCTACAGATGTGATTTGGTTCCGTTTTTATGGCACATACTGTACACTTTATTTATTTAGGGTTTTTCTACCAGAATGTTATGGTGTAATGATCAACTCCCTCTTCACTGAGCAGCTGCCATCCCTTTGTCAGCTGCAGCAGTAATTTTATTAATAAGCCAGAAAAGCAGTACATTTAGAACTGAAGAAGAGAGTGAATCCAATTGAAACCACCACCTACGGATATAGCCAGAAAAGCAGTACATTTAGAACTGCAGAAGAGAGTGAATCCAAGAAATTGAAACCACCACCTATGTATACAAATAAAATAGGAAAAAGCTTATTTAGAGGAACATTTTTCCAAAATAAAACCCAAAGATTGCTGTTGAACCCTGGAGTTTAAATACCAGGTTACTACATACAGTATATATTAGGAAGAACTAGCCTCTGCAGACAAATACTTATTTATACTTATTTGTTAAAAGCAAACCTTCAAAACCTCTGCAGAATATTAAGTTTTAATATTTATTCTTATAAAAAGCTGTCTGGTTTGTACCCAGCCCTTGATTTCTACGATTGGACCTAGACCACCTGCAACCTTGAAAAAGAATAATAAATAGTAAATTAATAAATAAAACATTAACAGATTACATTTTACTTCAGGTGTATTCAGGGATTTTGATTGAAAAAAAGTTGTAAAATATAGCAAATAACATAAACAAACAAAATAAATTAATAGATATTTTAATGAAAGTTTTTTGGGGCCCTGCCTCTGCTGGCTGGCGGTAGCTACTGCAACTCAACAATCACCTAGTAAGACTAGAAATAGATCATGTATAAGTTCAACTTTAAGTTATGGATTTGTGCAGTATTTGCTGACTGAACTGACTGATCACTGAGAGCTGTCATGACGTTGTCCTTCCTTCACATGACATGAAGGGAATGTTTAAGGACTTTCGGTCTATTACTAGTCCACAGGCTTTCTTTGATTTACTAAGTTTGGCAGACAGCTTCACGTCCTTTTGTCCCTGCACTTGGGGAATCACCTAAAGCATTAATAATGACTTTAGACCCTCAGCTGGATCAATGCCTCACCGTAGTTCAATTACATGCAGTATAAAGTCGAAGAACCTATTTACCAAGGGTTGTACCTTTAAACACAATGTTCACTCCATTAAATTAGACTTTGAATGAGTGTAATCATGGCCCAGGCATGTCTCAAGGACAAGGGCCTGGAAAGTCAAGGATGCCAAATTTAACTTGTGACTCGTGTTCATGTTGATGAGGAAAATGTAGTATGATGTAGTGCAAAAAAAAACAAACAAACAAACAAACAAACAAACAAAAAAAAGGACCAACCTTGGAAGCAGAGACTCTGTAAACAGGGCTAAAACTGGACTGGAAAACTTTTCTCCGTCATCACTTTCTCTCATTCTCCTTTCACCACGAGCTCCTCCTGCTTCTTTTTCCTCTTTCTTGTTCTCTTCTTCAAGAATATCATCGTTGACGAGCAGGACGAGACTGAGTTCAGAAAGCACCCTCAAAACAAAGCTTGACCTTTCAACTGTAACGGAGGAAGGAAAGGGAGAGATACTCAATGGAATATACAGACATTATCTGTTTTGTTGAAAGAGTGAGGTGGACAGCATTGTTTTTGAACTAACATCAAGTGCAAAGCCAGAATACAATATGAGCTGAAGTCAAAGTCAAATGAATAAAAAGAGAGATTGTGAAATTATGACATATGTCATAGAACTTTTTGACCTAGGAAAGTCTGACAGTTACTACCACTACTATGGTAAATTCTGAAAATATATATTTATATATAACACAAATATAATTAAGCTGAGCTGCACTAAGTCTGAATTAAACCACATATTTTCATTTGTCTGGAAGCCAAACATTTATTCATTGTAACAGATAAAGCTCTAGAAGAGAACATCACTTCTCTTACCATTTTTGCTGAAAGCCAGTCTGGTCAGAGGAGGAAGAATTGTATCCACAACCTTCAAGATACATAAAGAAAAAACTCAAAATATCAACTTAACATTTTAAACAAATATTTAACCTCATAATTAATTACAAAGTAAAAGTATCTTAGTTACAGTCATAAACAGTGTGACCAAAACGTGGTGTCCACGTCGGGGGCAAAAGAAAGATTCAAAAACAAACCACCACCACACTACTGTTTGCTCTATGCTTTTAATAAACACATTTGGGTAGAAAAGAAATGAAAACAATAAATATGGTCTTTAAAAAAGGCACCTTAAACCAACAACAAAATAAAAAAACGTTATCCATACAGCGCACTGCAGCAGGACAAAAACCTATTATTTGGGTCTTTAATGTCTCTGGACCTCGACAGTTTGCCCTTTCTGAGGGGAGAATGAATTAAGTTAATTAAGATATTGTGGAGGTTCAAGTCAGGGTGGCTGACAACTACTTTGAGCTCCATAGAAGTAAGATACAGCAGCAACTAGAGTATAAAGACAGACTGCACAGATATTGATCTATTACAGAGCCACATTAAAATTCAATGATAATACTCACCTCCAAAAAAAGAGTCAACTGTCCGTCATAAAAAAACATTACTAACATTACTGCACAGTCTAAAGTTTTGTTATTAAGGCCTGGTGTGACCAATTATGGCATAAAGTCATGGTTTTCCCCTCAACTGTAAACATAAAAAAAAAAATGTTTATATCACTTTACCAGGGCATGCAGGCTGCAGGAGGAGAAAGTGGAGGTGAGGAGAACAGCGATAAAAGCAGCTGCTGGTGAGGTTGTTGGCAATCACCCTCTTTCCTTAACTGCACTAGCCTGCTGAGGATGGACTGCTGCACCAACCAGGGAGAGATTTTTTACTCATTGAAACTGAGAAAAGTGTGAGACGCGTCTGGCAGAAGAGGCCAAGGTTCGATGTTGTATAATTTAAGCTTGTTGTTCAGCCTGTGCAGCACGGTGATAAATACTGCTCAGCTGTGAAAGGCCGTTTACTGTCTTGATTGGGTTGAGTGAACTTACAATGACAGCAGGACCTACAACACTGGCACACACTGAATTCCAAATATTGAACTGCAGTTTGGCTGGAAATTAATGGTGCTGTAGACCTGAAGATTGACTAAGAACGGAGGAGGATACCCAAACATTCATTTTGTTTTGAGCCCCAACTTTTGAGTTATAAAATTCCACCATTTCTGACTGTGATTACTGTAATAACAGTTTTGTTGAGGGCAGCACTGTGAGGTTAATGTCCTTTCTATCTGCAATAAATCTCTTATATATATCTGCTGAAACTGAATGGCCCCTAAACGCACATTCACTGCTGTATCAGTCACCTTAACATGGAAAAATGTGGATTAAACCAAACTGAAAGCCTTGATCCAAGTGGAAGAGATGCAGCACTGCTAACCTGAGTGTCACCAGACGGCCTGTGGCAAGTGTTTGAGCGCACCTGTTGCGGAAATAATTAATATATTAATGTGACTGTTGGTCAGAGCTCAACCGTCTGAATTACTGTTCTTTTTTTATGTCTCATTAGACCAAAGGCTCCTGGAGAGATTTCATTGTCCCAAAGTGGCTTTACACATTTGCCGTCCTTATGTTTTTGGTTCTTTTTGTATGTGCCAACCTACAACCTGGTGCACCTTATGGAAGAGATGCTTTGAACCCACACTAAATATGGAGCAGTAAATGTGCAGCATGTGGTTGAGAGGTACAGCTCACAGCAGCCTGGTGAAAATCTAAGGTTGGGAGGTTTAAATCATAAAGAAAGAAAAGAAAATCTAACAACAAATATATTTTTTTTAGATTAGGCTCAAGAGAGAACCTGTGGCAAATTAATCCAGTGTTCATCAGCTTCGTAGACCACTAACACGGAGGAACAAATTACTATAAAAATACACAGTCGAGTACTGTCTTTGATTTGACACGTTATAAAAGCGCGCTCATACACAAAAGCACTCCCGCAACTGTCAAGCCTTTATTTAGGCCTGGATCTGTATTGCATGAATTTGCATGATTACTTGTATTACCATAGAGACAACACTAACGCTGAATAAGTGCATGTGAGGTCATTACATTGAAAAAAACAGAGGAAGAAAAGTACAAAGGATGTTGTCCACCACTTAATGGCCTGTATATTAATACACCATCATCTAAACAAGCATCAAAAGAGTGGATGGATAGAGAAGCTCTGTGGGTGTGTGTTTGTGTTTGTGTGTGTGTGTGTCTTGGTGCAGAGATCGAGGAGGATGAAAGAGGGATCTGCAAATTTGCAATTTTACCAAATGTTTAGTGAGTCATTTAGTTCATGTTAGTAAAACTACATTTTTTAAAAATAATTTTTCTAGAATCAAAAGTCTGTCATTGCGTATCTCATGTTTGACTTTCAATATTATTACAATTACAATGATACAACTATTATCAATGGATTAATACATAATTATGGCAAAAATTAATATGCATATTTCAAACTATTCAACTATTAAATAACTAACTTTTATTATTGCAAACTGAGAGATATGTCCCTCTTGGTGTGAGAAGACCAACTCCTGTTTCTGAATGACATTTCTGATTCTTATATAATCCTACTTGTCTCTCGTTCACCTGATGTCTTTTTACTTCAAAAAAGCCAGAATGCTGCTACACTTCAGCTTTTAAAACAGGGGGCGCTGGCAGCATGCGGCTCTACTATGTGTAGAGCTGCACCACATGTTAAAGACAGTGTATAGAAGGGCTTGTCCACTATGACTTAGATGTTGTTACAAACCACATTCAGTGTGGTATTTTAAGGAGGGACACATGTAGTCCAGATGTGTCTCCTACTTGAATTGTCTGGTGATTAAAAGAGTGGAATAACAAGATCTATAGACTCTTGATCAGCTCCAGTCTTTTACGCAGCAACAATGTGAACAAATTAACTTGGAAAACTAACATTTCTTTTTAATTGCCAGTAATTTAGTTTTATAACTTTAGGTATTGAACGTTTTATTGCTAGAACACTGCACGTCTTTTCCCATAATCTTTTATGATTTAAGGCATTACCAAATGACATTTTATTAATTACCGATCAGTATCTGGACCAACTTGGACTCAGCCTGTAAAAGTCTAACTGTTTTTTCCACATTATACCTCAATGCCATAGTTGACGTGCTGGTGAAACTTCCTTCCTTCCTTCCTTCCTGCTAACACTTACTCAGATGGAAACAGACGTAAACTTACTTAAACATAAGTATTATGTCTCCGAGCATCGCGGGCAATAAAAGTTAATCTGGGCTGACTGGTGGTAATTAAAGTGTCTTCCTGTGTTATTGACTCTCAGAAACAGCAAGACGTGAGCCTTGCCGCTCTCCTCCATCCCCTGATTCTCATCTTTTCTCTCCCTCAATCCTGTTTGCTTCCTGCGGCTCTCCACTTCCATATGTCAATAGTCATTAAACTCAATCACACTGTTCCCTCACAGGAGCAAAGAGCGAGAGACAGAGAAAGTAAGAGAGAGAGACGTGATGAAAGTCAGGCGGTTCAATAGTTTATTAGTGTCTTATTAGCCTTAGCATCAACTCTTTGTGCTATGTTTGCTATAGACGACACAGTGGTTTATCAAACCTGGAGACCACAGTCAGACTAACACTGACAGAGGAACAAATATCAGTTCTGAGGCTGAGAGACAGGAAGTGGCGTGCACTTGCATGCATGTGCGTGTGTGTGTGTACTTACAGTACAATGATGTGGAGCGATGAGGGCATGGTGCTGACTCAGAGCTTTAATGGTGGACAGACATGTCCTGATAAAGTCTTCAGAAACTCCTGCACCTGGTGGGAAACAAACAGCAGGTAGCTGTGAGTCATCACATAAATAAAACTAACGATGACTCAAAAAGCTCAAACATCGTTGGCATTTGGCGTGTATTCTTTCCTCGTAATTTGACATATGCAGTCGTGGAGTTTGACCATTGCATTAACAGACTTTTATTTTAAGACAACAATATGCACGTTAAGTTTGGGTAAGCCACATAAGTTAAGCCAGTGAAGCCATTTTGGGTGTTTTTTGGCTATGACAGGAAACAGGAGTACTACAGTATTCCTGGAGAAAATTCTCACCCACAGGAACAATCAGATACCATTGAGAAACTGAACCAGTCATCTACCTACCTCCTGTAAGGCAAGATCACTAACCACTTACAAACACGTGGCCCCTCTGCAGACAACAATGTTAGATGTCTAGAAGTGGTGAAATGTTAACATTTTAACACATGTGTTGTTTGTCTGTAGCAACTATGGAGAGCTAGCTTTGCAAAGACTCAGAATAACTGAGTGGGCCATTACAGCTCAAACTAATTACAGTGGTTCATTTTTGCTTCATGGTCAGGTTTTTATCATTAAAGTAATTAAAGTGCTATCAGTGTTGTAAATTAAAAAAAAAAAAAAAAAACTCACCCAGAGCACTGGCCAGGTTTGTTTCATTGGATTCCATTGAGCAGACAGAGTTCTTTAAGAAACGAAGCACAGAAAATGAAACATCAGTTTAAAGGTAACACATCTGCACGTGTGGCTAGAAATATAGAGCTGAAACTGAAATCACAATTGGAATAAAACAAAAAAAAATGACACCACCATCAGAATCTGTAATCTGCACACTTACAAGCAGCAGTCCAAGCTGAGCCAGGAATGTCTCGTTCACAATGTTCCATCGAAATATCTGAGAAAAGCCACAGACAGAGTCAAGCAAAAGCAGATGTGGGGTCAGTGAATTTTATATGTGTAAACAATCCTGTTATTATGCAGGGCTAATTCGTTTTTAATTTACTTGCACAATAAACAGAGGAGGCTGTGTACACTCACCCTAACAGTACGTCTACCTTAAAGGACATAGAAGTATGTATGTAGATATTCCATATATGTCGCAGCATTAGAAGAAAATATTGCATCTCCTTGTTACCTGTGATGAGACCAGTTCCAGCACCACAGACAGTGTGGGCAGTGTAACCCTAAGCTGTCTGCTCTGGGATGTTGACGGGTGTCTCCTCCCGATCACATCCCTCAGGGCAGCGAGGACATCGGCTACAGAGAGGACAGGAAACCAGATGAGACTGGAGGGGGGAGTAAAAGGCTGATGGGATGCAAACAAACATTTCTCGACTGTGTAGTGTTGACACTTTCTTTTTTTCACACAACTGACAAAAACCTTCAAGATTTCAATTCTAAGAATAGAAATTCTCCAAAATACAAACAGCGCCCATTATGCAGTGTGATTCTTGCTCTCCACTCGTTCTCACTCGACCATGTGTGTGTGTGTGTGTGTGTGTGTGTGTGTGTGATGTGTCAGTACCCAGTATCAGTGGTGCGGTGCTGCACAGGTGTCCAATCAGTAGGTCCAGACACTGAGACAGGTGACCTGATTGGCCGGGGTTTGCTTTGAGAGGTGAGGCTCTGTTCAGGTCTCTCTCCAGGTACATGACAAGCCTACGGAGAGACAAATATTCACTGCATGTCACAAAACATGACAAACAAACAAAGAAAAATAAATAAAAAAATACTTTTTTCTTTTTTTTTTTGGTTTTTATGTGATATTATCAGAGCTACTGGGAGGATATTTATCTTACCCACTTTAACTCATTTTTAAACACTTAGATTAACTTCATGACTGGGATGGAAATAATGAAAAAAAATAAAGCCACATTAACAACATGATTCTAGTCAGTGAGCAGAGAAATCTTGTCAGCATCTGCTGGAAACACAAAAAAGATACTGGACAAGAAGGAGCGAGAAAGAGAGAGAGAGAGAGAGAGAGAGAGAGAGAAAGAGAGACATGCAGAATTTTTTATACACCGACTTATGAGGACTTAACAAAAATAAATCAAGCTCCATATATTTAAATGAGAGAAGTTTGCAGATACTCTTGGACCTAAATTTACTACTACTATTTTAATAATTTTTAGCATTTTTTTACTTCTGTTTTTCCTAAAATAATGTGATGCAAAAAGAAAAAAAAGGCAATAAATTCAATATATTCTTATCCCGAGGTTTCTAAAATTGAAATATGCCACAGGCAAACTGCAGTGACTGACTGAATAGAATGGAACTGGTACAGTATAATCTAGACAACAGTAATGCAGTATTTCAAATGTGGAAACAACTGACAATGTTGATGTCAGTATATTATCAGATCATTATCATTTTTTTTATGACTGTGTTGTAGAAGCCACAGTTTGTCTAAACTCATGTTGACTTTTTCTATAAAACAACCACCAGAACACACCCATGAGGTTAATCATTATCATTTTTTTTATGACTGTGTTTCAGAAGCCACAGCTTGTCTAAACTCATGTTGACGTTTCCTATAAAACAATCGCCAGAACACACCCATGAGGTTAGCCTCCGGAAAGGGTAAATCATGAGCTTGAATCATTTGGAACCCAAGGTATTATAAGTGAAAGTGAATCATTTGTCATTGTGACACAGCACACCACTGCACACAATGAAATGTGACCTCTGTGTTTAACCCATCAGCTTATAAGCACCTGGGGAGCAGTGCCATGCTCAGGGCACCTCAGTGGTAACTTGGCAGCTGGTGGACTCGAACCAGGAGCCTTCAGGTCCACTAAGCCACCACTGCCCTCAAAAAAATATATAAAAAAGTATACTTGCCGAATGTAATGTTTCAAATTAATTTGAATAATAATAATTTCTTGTAATGAAATGATGATGTTGTATTGTAATGGAAATCAAAATGCTGCAAGCCCTGACATGATGTTCGGACTTCTAGGACAAAGTCCAGCTTTCCATTAAGCTGTGCAGGTGCTGTAGATCCATCTCAACATGACTGCACACTGTCTTTCTGCTTATTTGTATGTGGCTGCTTTGTGTTGCAGCCTCTTTTTTCAGAATGCTAAATAAAGAGGGACACATTTGCCACCTCTGTGTCAGTCACTACGGGAGACTCACAATGTACTCTCACACAACTGACCTACAAGTGGCCTGCTCTGTGTTTGTGACTGCAAGACTATGTCTGTTGAGAGCCATCTCACATCGCTCCCAATGGCAATCTTGACACTTTCTCAGTAAGCCCTGCGCAAGTTTATCTTTATACAGACAAACACACACACACACACATTTTCACACCACTGAGGAGCTAATTAAACAGCGTGCCTGGGTGAGAGCAGGACTGAGGGAAAGACGCGTCTCTCTCTCTGTGTGTGTGTGTGTGGTTGAGTCAGGCAGAGAGCTCGGTGGGAGAGAGACAGGCAGGTCAAATCTGACAGCTTTAACACAGCGAACAGAGGGAGCGCGAGTGAGGAGGGAGTGATAGAGAGGAAGTGCATATAAAGTGAAAGGCGGACAGGAAGAGAAAATGAGTTGAAGGGGGAAAAAAAGTGACAATTAAAACCTTTATTTTTAGTGTCACGTATAAAAGGAAGTTTGTTCTCGTGCCTCACTATGAAAACGCAGACTCATATGAGTAAAGAGTAAAAGTCTGGTCTGTGCTGCACTGCCATGAAACTGTCTCTCAGGGTGAGAGGGAGGCTGGTCCGAAACGTCCTAATTAAGGAAATCTTGCTGATTAGAGTCTATTTTCAGACAGAGACTATTCCTGGACCACACTGCAACCGGATAATCTGTACTTTGTTGAAGGAAATGACCAAAGGCGTACACTGAAAAGATGACAAAAATTCAATGCCACTGCTCAAAGGTGGAAACAATGTGTGTTGCCTTGAAGCTACACTGTGTAAATTAAGTCCTTTGATATTTTCTTTGGTAGAAACTGAATATAAAATCATTTTCACTGAGGTTCCAGGAGTATGAAGTAACATTTTAATTTCATGTAGAATAACTAGATTCCATATGATGCACTAAGGCACAGCAAAAGATACCCAGCTGCCCAAACAAGGGTGAGAGTAGAGGCAGGATCAGCTCCCAGCTAAGCTTTGGAGGAGGAGGAACAACTGAGAATACAGATTTCAACAGAGTTCAACATAAAGAAAAAGAACATTTAGAATGATCAACATAAAGAAAAAGAACATTTAGAACGATTTAGACTGTTATTTGGATTATATCAGGTAAAACCATTCATGTTTCTAAATTGTATTTTCTTGCTTTCCAGTATTTTTTGTGATATCATGTGAGGTGCACAGCCCTTACTTCCCTTACTCCTCACGTCACATAACTTGGTTCCTTTCGACAGTCGATTCATTATCAATCAATTAAGTAATACTGTATATATTTAATTAACAACATCTGTAAGCAATTAGTGAGTACATCGTTGGGTTCGTCATGAAACTCCAATAAAATGTTCTTACGCCTACATCAGTCAGGACAGAGCTGAGAGATAGAAAAGAAATGGCGGAGGTAAAGAGGACTGTATGCAGTCCGATAAAAAATAAACTTTGCGCAGAGTAAGAGTTGGAATAAATAGAGAATGAAAGAGAAGGAGTCGAGGCACAGTTATGAGAATCCATATGTCAGTAAACTAGGGCATCTTTTCTTCAAACTGAAATACCAACTGGTCATAAATTACCGAGGGAATCGAGTGTGTGTGTGTGTGTGTGTATTATATCATGCATATGCATCTGATCATATGAGCGGTGCACCATCACAGCTGCACTACGAGTGAGAGAAGGGGTGAAACACAGGACAACCAGCTCTAATGAACCATGTGAAGCTCCACTGAAGTTACAACATGCAGCAGCACAGGATGAATGTCCAGGGTACATACATTTGTATTAGAATTCCCACAGCTGCTGTTCTAGTTAACACAAAGGTCCCTCAGAGTACATGTGCCCCACCATCAACCCCCCCCTCCAAACCCCGCAGCAGCATTTGTATGAAGAACCCCTTTTCCACCCACTTTTGAAACCAGGCTGCTTTAAACAACACATATACAAAAATATAGAACGTCATATGATCCATGTTAGCAAGTTTGCTAAATTGAATGAGGCTTCGACTGTAGAAAACCTGTGATCTGGTCAGCGTTGGTCAGATACATGTGGAGGGTGAGCAGATTCCTCCTGTACGAATCATTTGTAGAGCTTTCAACATTCAATTACGGCGTAGCCTGAGCAGAAAACGACAATGTGAGCTCCACTCAAGCTTCCCGTCCTGTCAGCCCGACTACACCGACTGCTTGGCCGTGTCTTTAGTCAGAACCAGCTGCCTGTCTCTCAGCAGACCCTGAAGTACTACTGAGAAAACAGCATCCAGTCTAACTGGCTGACAGATAATAATAATTTCACTGGAGCAAATCTGTGAATCTGCCTGCAGTGAAACCAGAAAGCTCATAATGGCAGTCGTTGCAAATACCACTGCACATTATCTGATTTGAGAGGTGTCTGTGGAGATTACATTTGCAAGCACGCCGGAGGGGAAAACACCAATACTGTTATGTTAGCAGTTCTCTGCTTCGTGAAACTTTAGTGGAGCACAATTTTTAGGGTTTGGCGTATCACAATGTGTATGAAAGAGGGAATTTGATTGTCTGGGTGGGTGCGTGACGCACACTGAAAGCTACAGTTAAATAATTGAAGGGAAAATCACACCTTGGTATGGAATTCACAAATGCTAGGGGTTTGTTCTCAGAGAGTGAAGCGTATGTGTGAAGATGGGCAAGAACATTCCAGAGAAACTAATTAGCCAGTGTGGTCTGACTGAGTGACTGGAGTGATGGAGAAGCGGTGCTGGTCCAAATCTCAAATCGCAGTCAGACGAGAGTGTAGTCAACTGTTTGGTCAGATAACAGTTCAGGCACTTTAGCCTCAAGCAGTATTCATGTGTTATGTAGTGTATGTTATAAAAACTATGTGCATAAAAATGCCCGTCAAATTACAACTCAATATTTTTCTTTCCCAAATGTCATTGTGTTACTGAATTATAAATGCATCTATATCAAAACCTAGTTTTGCCTTATGGTTGTTTTTGGAAGTACATTTTCTATTAATATATATATATATATAATGAAAAATAATAAATCATTAATATTAAAAAGTGGGGAAAGGATATATTTGAACGTGTGAGTGTGTACTCACCTGTGCTGACAGCAGTAGAGCAGTATCTGTGGGTTGTCCTGTATTAACAGTAGCAACAGTAGCACCGTTTTGGCTCTCGTCACGTTGGATGCACTCTCCAGACATCGCAACACCGTCAACACCAAATCCTACGTGGCACAAACACAGCGGAATACTCTGAGTCTTTCTGACATGACTTGTGTCTTATCAGAATGACATACTTTTCAATTCTTTTTAAATTATAGGTGTCAGTTTTTTTTCACCTGAAAGCAGATAAGAAATGGAGCTTCTTACATTTGATGTATTTTGAAAAATAAAAATAAATAGCTGTAAAAAATGCCAATACTGATTTGTGAATACAAACTGGAGTGATAATCAACATATAAGATAATGATGTTACCATATTATACTGGTAATGCTGTGGAACTTTTTTTAAAAAATTTTCAAATTTTTTTGAAGTAATTTGGCATGGAATTATTCATTCATTTCCACACTATCTACAGTTTAATCCTTTGCTGGAGCCAATCCCAGCTGTCAACAGCTGAGGGCAGGTGTACACCCTGGACCCTGGACAGTTTGCCAGTCCATATGGGCCGCACACAAACAATCATTAACACTCGCAGTCATTCAATGACTTTAGTCAATTTAGAGTTTTCAGTCAACCTTATCCCCTGATGTGCACGTGTTTGGACAGTGGGAGGAAATCCAGGCCCAGACAGGGAGAAAATACAACATTTTCACCTGTATGTAATGATGACGTCTTCAAATAAGATCAAAATTCTTTCAGTCTGCTTCATATCTTGCTGGGGGGAAGATGACTAAATTATGGCTTTGCTAACAAACCACCTGTGCTAGCTTGTTACACCTACAAGAAATGTTCTATCTGTTTTTGGTGCCATTGTCTGGCTGTTGACAAATCACTGAACTATCAGGCACTTCATCAAATACCGATTGTATCCTACTCACAAACAAAACAACTGAAATAAAAGCCTTGTGTCTTTTGTTGGTTAAAAACAGCTAAAAACCACTATTCACTTAATAATGAATTCAATTAATATTTTTCGTTTACTCATTATTCTATGTGTGGCCACAGAAGGAAGTTGAAGCTTCTTTTCAGAAGGCATTTGCATCTTCTAGAAAACGGCCGTTGTGAAGATCATGGTTGCAGCCAAATCTTTTCTTTCTTACAAAGGTGTGAGGGTCAGTTCAGTTCTGCTCGGAGCCTTAATTATCATTATCATTATAACCAACACCATGCAATACAGCTGTTTGTGTGTGAGTGTGTGTGTGTGTGGAGGAATTTCAATGCATGTGTGTTTATGGATGACACACCGACTTAATTAATTTCAAAGCCCTCTGAGTGTGTGCCTTGCTGATAAGTCCCTCCCCACTACCCACAATGCTTTGCTGAAATAGAAGGCTGCAGCACATCCATTCAGCCAATTAGCCCAGATACTGACACACACTACACATTTGCGTATGTGAATCTGTGGACACAAACACACACACACATGACATCTCTCACAAACATGCACACAAACAGCACATACACAAACAAACAGACTCCTGTGTAAACAAACTCTTGGATTGTCTGTCTTTGCGCCAGGGGAGAGGGGGTGAGGTTGGTAATGGGGGAGTGAGTGTAAGTGGGGAGGGGGGCCGGGGGTGAATGCATATCAGTGCATAATTAGAGAGGAGTTAAAGTACTAAGTTTGTATTCTGCTGTTAAATTGGAAATGCTCAATGCAAATAAATTCAGTTCAGAGTCAATTAACAATGCTAGACTCAGTGTTAAAAACCTTCAAATCAATCGGCGCCCCCTGCCTCACCGAGATTAGAACTTCACATACCACGTCACATGGGCTGTCTAATGGAGAAAATAAATAATGAACTCCCGACAAATTAGTCTGTGCACAGTTCAGCATTAGTTCATCAAGTGATGGAAGGAAAGGAGAGAAAGAGGAAGAGATTGTGGAACACTTTTCCCCAGACCTGCCAAAGGAAAGGAGAGAAAGAGGAAGAGATTCTGGAACACTTTTCCCCAGACCTCGTGTATTAGTGTGAAGCACACTGGTACACAGGAAATGAGTCATAACCAACACAAGGAACCTAGAAGTAAAAATGATTCCTAAATCGTTTATGGTTGAGGTTGTTAGGTCTTCCTGCTGTAAAAAAAATAACATGTTAACCATTTTGTCAGTTCTGGTCCCTATTAGAGCAAAACACAGGATAAAGTATGACAGGAGATATTTTTTAAGCTGGAGATCAGGAGGTAGATCGTCCCGTACAAGCAAGGACTAACAGTTTAACCTCTACACATCTGAACATCCAAAAAAATAAACAACTATTCCACCAAAAAAGAAATATTTTTTTTGTATTTAGACTAGAAGACATGTCTCTTCTTTTGTGGGGCTTGGCAATAGAACCACAGCATATTCAAATGATTTCTGTATTATTGAAAACAGAAGCATACAAACCCTGCTCTGAGTGATGCGGTGAGTTTGAATCTGTGATGTCACTAAGGCAGTGGCCAAAGCAGTGAGCAGGTGCTGCTGGACTCTGGACCCAGCTCCGGCCAAACTCTCCAAAACGGCTGCAGGACCACAAGCATCAATCACTGCCAAGAAGACTGAAGGGTCAACTCGGGTCACCCTGGACAAAGACTGGGGACATGAGAGAATAAACATTATGTTTTTTTATTGGCCCGGAAAATATTTTTTGTTCAATCAACCAGTCTGTAGTTTTCCGTGTATGAATTTGTTTGAATATTCTAGAATCATATTTTAAATGAGCCAAGTGCAAATGCAAAAAAGCAGAACCAGTACTGAGCCTAATTCAATTGTTAGGATCTTTTCTCCCAGCTCCTCTGTCCTCTTTCCAAGAGGGAAGGAAGTGTGCATTCAACACTAATTCCCAGGCTGCTGTGTTTATACCGCTGAGGTTCTGTTTAACATCCTCAACAGGGAAGAAACAAAAAAATAAAATCTTTTCTCAGTTGTAGGGGACACTGTGACTGCAGCAGATGGCCCCTCGCTGCAGAGACTGACAAAGTGACAATAAATAGGGAGACAGAAAATAAATAAACAAGTAATTAGAGTCTAAATTTAGAAGGCACTTTAATATGAATAATGCAGAGCTGCAATTATAATGACATATTCACTATGCTTAAGGCACATTGGAAATTATGTTAGGAAAAGGGACCATTGTTTGAGGATTAAATCGTAAAAACTGACAGTAGACGTTATTTAAAAGAAACTGAAATGCAGTTGAAGTGTTGTTTTTTTAACTCTAGTTTTTTTCATAATCAGATCTTTTATGTAGTTACTGTATTGAAGAAAACATGGACAAATATAGAGGTAGGAAAACTTTTTTTCCTTATCTCTAATGTCTCACCTAAATGTAAACAAACTACAGTCTTTTGAACCACAGTATCTCACAGTGTATTATGTAAAGGTGTGTTTGTGTTCTGGGTATGAACTAACGGAGATGGCAGTGACTCTGACAGCATCCACAGGAGAGTGAGTGAACAGGAACCACAGGGCGGAGCCTATCTCTGGCGTCAACAGTGGGTGGGGCGGTCCAGCAACTCTGGTGGAGATGTTCTCCACGGCTTTAGCAGCAATGTGATGAACAACGGGATCATCCTGAAAAACAGACACACAATTTTATGACAAGAATCAAAGAAAGACACACAAGTGCATTTCTTATCTTCTCCTTCGCAGGTAGATGAACATTTCTGTTACAAAATCACTGAGCAGTAATTGGTAGTAATGTAACTCAAATAATAAAAAAATTATCAATAATAACAATTGGTAGTAATGTAACTCAAATAATAATATTAATAGCAATAATAACAATAATAACTATTTCTATTCTTATTTGAAATTTCTAAATAACTAATTAAGTTTGTCATGACAAAAAAAAAAAAAAAATTAGCCTGCACAGGATTAAAGCATTGAGGGATGAGCCAATCATGACAAGCGGAACCCATTATTACTGACTAGACTTATTTGGGTTTAACTAAAAATGCTGACATTGATTTATAGAGGGTTGTTTTGGTTGAAGGAGCTCAGATAAATTAACAACATTGTAGTTTGAGTAGAAACAACTTAGACATAATTATGACATTGAATTCATGACCCTTCTGAGAGAAATCCCTGGACCTGAAAAAGAACGCAGATAATCGTCACATTGAAAATAAGTGTACAGTATTAGCGTATATTAGTTCATAACTTCCATGTGGTGGCCGTCTGTTGGGTCAATACATGAAAAAAGTACATCAGAAAAATGTGTACAAGTATCGACTACTACGTACTGCAGTCTGTTACAGTGCTACTCTACTTCATTATGCCACAATAACAAAACTCAAAAAAGTCCACGTCATACAAGGCAGAGATGAACAAACGTCTAATTCAATCACCACATGACAATCAGATTAGCTCTCGGCGTCGACCCCCGCACAAGTACAGCGTGTGAGAAAACACTGTATATAAGTTATGCGCAAGTGTTTGTGTGCGTCCCTGCTTATGTGTACGTCGCACACTGTGCCCACACACACCTTTGCCTCAGTAGAAAGTAGTTGCTCATGTTCAGACAATGGGGCCAGGACTAATGAAATCTCCATGGCTGAGGAAATGAGGTTTTTTTTTTTTTCCCCAGGAAAGTCATTGTGTAGAGAGACAGGAAGTGGAACAGAAGTGATTGCGTCTGTCAGGTTATTATTGTCTTTCACTGTGTTACATCACTTAGATGCCACTCTCACCAGATATAATACAATATAATAGAGCCTATTCATAAAACACAGTTGAATGTATCTTGTGGTAAATGCTCATTATAGCAACCGAAACATTCATTCCAGAGGCGTAATTTTATTAAAGCGCAGCCGACATATAATTGCTTAATTAACGGGAACTTTCTCTTATTTTCTTCAATGTTCCCACAATACAGAAAAATATGTCACTTCTGTTCTTGCTAATAATGAAAATTATTAAAACTTATGGACAAATTAAGTAACTAACGAACATAATGACATCATTGTCATACCTATCTATCCCATCGTACCTAATCTACCAATTTTGAATATATTGATATGTAGATCACGTGACCATAATCTACACTATAACAAACTCAGTGCATGCACCCTAGATCTGTATGTGAAGTTGTACACATCTCCATAGATTACACAGACCCTTCTGTCACATCACTGTGTCTTTTACATTCTTAATTGGCATTCAGTCTGACCACATGGTGGACAAAGCCTATTGTCTAATCTTCTCCATCTTGAAAAAGGATTTGTCAGGCACATCTGTGTGAATATGCAGTGTTTGATAAAAGAAAAAGAAAAAGTCCCTATTGTCCAGCACAACCCCTGGGTGCGGAGGAACAAACGCGATCGATAAAAGGTTCTGCTCTGATTCACAACCACGAGGTTTTATTGAAATGAAGGAATACTTTTCAACCCGCTGGGGAACCCTAATCATAACTGATAGCTGGGATAACCAACCTATTCATCCAATATTGCTCATTTAACACCGGGGGACTTGGTGGGACGACAACGTAATGAATTAATTCTGACACCCCTATGGGAACCGGTGCAATGGTCTGCTCCGGCATTCCCTAGGCTTTGCGGACCAGCTCACTAATGAGCCCACGGGGGAGCACCCACTGTCTGTGTTTTAACAGACTGTAGCCCTGCCAGGAACTACATAGAGGGAGAAAAAGGGAAGAGGAGGGAAAAATATGGAGATAGAGAAAGGAGGAGAGACGGAGCGAGAGAAGGGGGGAGAGAAATACCCTTGCAAGTGGTGAGAAACAAGTTGTTCATGCAAAAAAATCCATCATTATGATGCAGTGAGAGAAATGCAGGAGACAGAGGAAGGAGTAAGTTATTCTCATTATAATTTCTCCTAGTGTGAGAAACAAGTTCACACACTCATTATATTATACTCCGTGTCCTACTTAAACCTCACATCTGCAGAAAGTCAACTTTAAAGAAATAAATGTGAAATATTTGAAATGGCTTTCCCAATACGATGGCTACAAGGTCATCAGGGACCTTATCCTGGTCTGAGCGCACGTGACTTTGTGAAGTTTGGCTGTAGTGGGGAATGGACACGATTGGATGATCAAATTTGTTCCTTTTTAGTAAAGTGCTATTCATAATTGCTGAAATTCCTTTTTAGTAAAGTGCTATTCATAATAGCTGAAATTCATTTTGAATCGACTGCTTTCACTTCACTTGTGTTAAGCGTGACAGAGAGTTGATCTTTCACTACTGTGTCCTAACCACAGGGTTTAGAACCGGACAAACAGTAACAAAAGTTCTGCTAGTTCATTTTGTGTTGTGTTGTAAATACATGTTTTTCTGTCCACCTTCATTTTATACGACTAGACATTTCACTCACAACCCTACAATCTCAAGGTTTCCTTTCCTCTCAAAATAGAAAACCTGTATTTTATATATATATATATATTTTCTTTGCACAAATGACTTCAAACTCAGACTCCTTGTGGTCTGTTTCAAAAGGGAAATGACATTAATGTAAGCTTCAACTAATGCTAATAAGCTCAGAAATGCTGTGATGAAAAAGGCGTTAAACTATATAAGCAATTAAAATTTATTTTCTTTTTGTCTAAGTGGAGCAACATATTTTGTAGTATCAGTTACTTGGCAACTGCAAATAGCTAAACTTTGTCTTACATTCTGTTCACTTTAGACAAGGATTCTTTTTTAAATTAATATTTATTTTATCAACCTGACAAAATGGTTTTGCAGTGATGGGGTTGAATTACACTCAGGTTCAGAAATGTGTTTGGCAATGTTGAACTTCAGGCTAAAATAAAGTGGGGAAACCCCTAGTTTTCAGATGAAAAGAGACCAAATCCTGGCAGTTATGGAATAATAAAACTTTTTTTTTTCTTTTTGTGGGATGTTGAGGAGATTAGTTTATATCCCAACATGTTTGCACATGGTCTCAACCTGAAAAGAGGTTTATATATCTACCACCAAAACTTTATCACGTAGACCGGCGCTGGGTTTGTGTGTAAGCCCGCATGTGTGTTCACATGTCTGATGTGGGTTTCCTCTGTAATTGAAGTCCTTTAGAAGCCAACGCACCTGGTTTTGAATAAGCCCCTATGGCAGGAACAGGCAGTCATCAATCAGCCTCACACAGCACATCTAACGCCACTAATAACCACACTCAAAGACAGAGACAGACTGCCTGATTAACTGGCTAACAGGGCATGAAGAAAGAGGACGAGCTGTGGACAAAAGAGCAACAAGTACAGGTTCAAAACCACAAGAGCAGCAGAAGAGAGATGAAAACCTGTAAACTAATGGGCCAACCCGGAGACAAAACAAGGACACAAACCAGTAAACAGAGTTACAGGGAGGCAAACAGACACTGGCGTATTCCCCGAGCAAACAAATATAGCACAGAAGGACAACCTGACAGGCAGCGGGAACAGCACAGACGCACACAAACTGTACCAACAACTTTCTCCTTTTCAGGGCCCAAAACTATTGCATGAGGTTATCCAAAAATAATAAATGTAAATTTACAATCAATCAACATCATATTAAAAAAGTAAATATTACTAGGTTAGACAATGGTGTTAACACACGTCTGTGCGTGAATACATTTTGTGGAGTGGTCACATCCTGTGTTAGAGACACGAGGGTAAGACCCATGACTGTTTAGAGAGTCCCTCTCTGTTCTCCTCTCCTTTGTGGGAGATAGTAATAAATCATTTATAGGATCTCCATTGGTGTGTGTGTGTGTGTGTGTGTGTACGGGGATTTTTACCTTCTGCCCCTTGGCTTCTAACACAGTATTGCTGTTCACACCCATTTCCCCTGCACACACATGCAGAGAGAGAGAGAGAGAGAGAGAGAGAGAGAGAGAGAGAGACAGACACACACACATTTTTCTTGCAGCAGTAGCATCATCTTGTTCATCCTCATAAATAATTTCCTGCAGCTCAAGTCTGGCCTGGAAACCTGTCTTTCACACCATGCCATCTACTCCCCCCTCCACCCCTCTTCAACACACTCTCCCTCTTTTTCTGACCCCCCTGTTTCCTCCCTTCTCGTTCATCCTACCTGTCACTCCGTGCCGTCCCTCACTACCCCACCGCTCCACCAGTAAGAACCACCGTGCTCTCTTTGGCTCTCTGCCCACTCTCGACCCCCTCACCTCAGCCCCTGCAGTCGACTCTCCGTCTAGTGCAACGATCTCCATCCCTTACCTCAGTGCTTTATCAGGAGTAACTCTCAACAGCAGCAGAGGGGGGCTGGGGTGATCCAGCGGGTCAGAAATTGCATCAAAACCACACTGCCTGGAGCGCATTAGACAGGGTCTTGGCACTGCAGCTCAGTGCTGTCATGTGTTGAAAAGTGTGTGGCACCGAATTTACATTTAGTACACGGGCAGACAAACTCACTGTCCGCATTTGGACTAAATTGCAAATTGCTAGTCTTTCCAAACATCCCTCTGGTAACAAACCAACAAAAAAGGAGGAGCTGAAGGATCCAAGAGTTAATCTGACAGCGTGGGTTATTGGAATACAAACAATGACGAACACAGCAAACTTCAGAACTTTTGTTTTCGGACAGAAACCAGAGGCCAACAGAAAACTACTGGTGTAACCCCAGAGAAAGATACAGTTGTATTTGCAAACATCTGCATGAGCCAAGATGGCAGAGTTAACTTAACGGTTTAATGGTTTAACTTAACTGTAATGCCAATATAATCGTTGTTTATCCTAATATTTATTATCAACAAGAAAACATTAATTCATTGTTTATCCTAATATTTATTATCAACATGCAAGAAAACGTTAATTCGCACTTATCTGACATAAACAGCTGTGGAGACAAAAGTTGGGAGAACCAAACCAGAATGCACTGCAGGGGGCAGACATGAGCCTGACCTTTTTCTACCTACTCATGTATCGTATTCTATGAAATGAATGACCTTTGTGTTGTTTAAAAACATGCGTTGATCTGCCACTGCAAGGACTGAATTATATCATTTACTGAGCTCCTTTATACCTCATATGGATTTATAGGCAGCATCTCTGCTCATCAAATTTCAGTAAAGGGACTGTGGTAGAGGAAAGTGGAAAAACCTGAAGCGCTCATGAGGGTAAAAGGTTTGATATTCTTTCATGGAACTTGGCTCTTCGTGATTATTAAAAAAGCTAAAGCCAAGCTCGGGCATTTCAGCAACAGAAGTCCTCTCCAGGGCAAATAAGGATGGGTGAATATGAGCTGCTCAGTCTTTCTCGATTATGTTCCTTTTTTTTTTTTTTAGATACAGACTTTTTGCACTTACTATGGAGCTAATTAGTTCGTCTTCTACTGCTTTATCCTGTTCAGAATCTCTGGGAGGGAGCTGCTGCAAAAACCCAGACTTCGGGTGAGGCCTGGGTAAACCCTGGAAAGTTCACCAGTCCACAGACAGACGCATTCATAACTATGGTCTCCAACTCAAATGAAGTAAAATATACAAAATATAAGTAACATCTCACAACCCACAATTCTCTGCCAAAATCAAAGTACATTAGAGATTGTGTCTCCAGAGTAAACTCCTTTGTGACATTTACTCAAATGTCAGTATTTTTGGAATACTCTGTTTACTCCCCGCTGGTCAAGGCTTGTAAAGTTAGACTGGATCTAGAACAGGTAACATCTCATTACTATTATTGCTATTATTGTTGCTTTGTTCTTGAAAATTGTTGCTCCCAAACTACACAATTTACCAAGGCTCAACCCCGGGGCTTAAAGCTTCCATTGATTTCCATTGTGTCAACAGAACACCCAATAACAGCAGTGCTTTAGCCGCCATTCAGTGAAATAAACTGAGATAAAATGCTGGTGGAAGCAAATTCTCAAGCTGACTTTGAGTTGCTGCGCATTCCCAAAATGCTGCACAAACACATGGCATTTGCTTATAAGAAAAGATCTTATTTCCGTGCAAATTTGAGACTGTATGTTTAAGTGTAGTAAGCTAGAAAACCATCTTGTTAGTGCCAGAAATGTTATGCCCACAAGACAAACTTAGACTATTTAGACAGCAGTGTAACAATTATACCACATATACTTTGAGTGTCTGGTCCCTCAGGCTGTGTATGTGTTAGTGTGTGTTTCCAGCAGCACACTCACAACTCAATAATGATAAATAAGTCAACCTCTTCCCTCCTCCTCTCAACCCCTCTCCCTGTCACACACACCCCCTCCTCTGTTCATCTACCCCCCGCTACACTCCCAGTGGTAATGAAGCAACAGTAGGTACGAGTTGACAACTGTGCACACCAGTTTCATCTATATTCATACTGCTACAGTGGGCCACCAAAGTAAGACCCCTTCTAGCCCTGCGAGACAAAAACAACACTCATCCTTCTCCTTCTCTACTTCTACATGACCAATGCATCTGCAGTCACTACTGTCAAAGAAAGTTCAGCATTCGGCAACAGAGACCCTGTGAGACACTAATTAAAAATATGGGATATTAGGAATAGGGTTTTTACAAATCTTAATGACAATTAACAGTATTAATGGTTGATTGATAGCATTTCTGATATGAAATGCAGTGTATAAAAATATAGTTAATTATATGATACAGAGGTTATCAATTGACCACTAGGGGGCATGTTTTTAACAGCCATCAACAGCAAATGAAACACTATCAGAGGCATTGATTTTCACCAGTCTGTCTCCAGAATTGAGCGACATCAGGTGACATAGTTAGACCAGGTCAAATAAAAAAATAAAAAAAATGTCCTCAGATGGTTGCTGTCAGTAATCAGTATTTCGTAGGTCGACCATTGGCTTCTGTAAAGACGATGCAGACCAGATCCGACTCAATCTCGGTGAATATACTAAAAATTCAAACTCCTGCCTGAGTGTACACTTATAGGCACACAAGTATTTTAAAATGTATATTTTGTGCCAGTGGAAATGGTATACAGAATAATTTCACCTCAAACTTACACAGTGTACCTACAGTATAAATGAGCGCAGCCAATGATACAGTTTCTTCCAGTTATGACTGTTAGTGACTTGAATAAGAGACACTTATTGAAGAGGAGAACAGGAGGCTCGGAACAAACGAGTTCAATCTCTTACCAGCGGCAGGGAGATGCCAACGCCGTTACATTACCTGTTTATGTATTTGGCAAATTTTGAGAAGCATAATTGAATAAAAGAGTGTCGAGCAAGTGGTGAAAGAAAAGCCAGCAATACGGAGCAAGAGGCGGTTTATTTATGCTCCTGCTCCAACTACTGTATCTGTGTGTGTCTGGAGGGCCCTAATTGCTACTGAGGTCAGGCTGCCGAGCAGTAAAGGGTTGCGTTTGATGCAGGTAAGAGTGTGTGCGCATGCATGTGTGTGTGCCTGCTCTGCATGCCCTTGACTTGCAGCTGGCAAACAATGCTTTAGGCCCCCACAGATGCCTCATCATTACTGTTCACAGGGATCCCCCTGCCCCACACACATACTTGCAGGCGCACGCACACACAGCGAGAGACTTAGTCACAGCTACACAAAACAGACACACGCAGACGTACACAGAGACACTCACCCCTTCCCGCAGGCTCCTCATTAAGCCAGTGTAGGCGGCAGCGGGAACAAACCACAGTCCCTCTGGGGAGCCTCTCTTCTCTTCCTGATAGAGAGGCATAGGAAAGACAGGGAGAGAGGGTGAGAGGAGAGAGCGGTGGGGGCATGGTTGGGGGCAGGGGCAGTTGAGGAGTAGAGTGGGAGTGGGAGAAAGGCAGAGCGATAATGTGGAGGAGATGCGAGTACACAGGAGCAAGGAAAAGGGCAAGATAGGGCCAAGTTGGTGAGGGGATGTGGGAGTCAGGGGAGTCATGACATCTTGATTACTCGGTTAGCAGGTCTGAGTACAAACATGCCTCATAACTATTCAGATATATGTGTTCATAGATTTCTACTCAGTGTGTTTGTGTAGCAACATTTCTTTACCTTATTTGCTTAATACATTTATTCATATAAATGTTCACAATGATGTAAACATGTTACATAATGTTTACATGATTTTTGTTAAACTCTAACTTTAACCAGTATTAGTTACCTGCAACACGTCACGTCAAGAAATAGGGACCAAAATGAGATTTGTACCAAATGAGACCACAAAATCAATGAAATATATAGAATCACAAATTGTATACAACCTATAAATCAAATATTAAGAATTTAAATAAATGAAGTGAATATTTAGTTATTTAATTTTTAATGGCTTAAATAAGTATTTACACTGTATGCACCGTATTATCCTCCCTGTCAGTACAACCCCCTGATATTGTATATTTTTTTTCTTACCTGTAATTTTTTTTTTAATATTTTCATTAAATATTAGTGGGTTTCATAACTGGTGTGTGAGGCTCTAGGCTATATCTAACCTTGAGGAAAAAGACAGCACTGGAGGCTACAACCAATCGTTGTCATTGACTGGAGCTGCACAAGAAGACAGCAGAAAACCATGTGAATGTACCAGGGGACACTTTAAGTGCAATTCCAAATGATTCTAATAAAACTGATTTTAATGATGTTTCATGGAAGAAAAAAATAGTCACCCATTAGAACGCAGTCAAGAGCAAGAATATATTAAAAAAAAAAGGTAGCAAAAAAGGTGTTGTTTGCCACCATTGTGGCCATTGAGTTGAATTTAGTTCATATAGAATGTAAGTCTAAGAGTTTGGAAATTGTTTGATTTTCAAAAGTGTTTTTTGTTGTCTTACACCATGTTGTTTTCACATTATTCCCAAATGCACACACTTGGCAAAAAACACAGTTACTTTTAACCTTGGGAAAATCCAATAACATTTTGCAGTATTTGTGTGTTGCAGAGGTTGTAGCTGAGACATAACCTTGGAAAAGGATGTAGTACAGTAGCTGAAGCTGACCCTGACTCTGACCAAGAAACAGCCGACCTGCAGGTGCCCCGGAGGACTCTTTAAAGATTTAGTATAAATAAAACAAGGACACAGTTGTACCGTTGTCAATTCCTTGATGCAGTTGAGAAACATGGAATTCTCAGGTTGATACTAAACTCAGGGGCAGAAGTGACACTTGAGCTCATGCAGCATTGAAAACTGTGTGAATTGTTGAGTTGAAAACATACACCTCCATTTCTACAGGTTTGTCAATGTTTTGTCATGAAATGATGGGCTGGTCTAGGTTCACAGTTTTCATATGTCTGGCAAATATCAACACAAACATTAACGTAGTAATGTACAAACTACTGAGAGTGCATTGATAAATGATGTAATTTGGAAGAGAAAAACAACATAACCCCTGATCATTTCTGACCTTCCGACCTTTATCTTATAACAACGTGTATCAAACAAAGAGTAGAAAGAGACTTTTTTCACTCTTACTGAAAGTGACACTCACTGTGTTCACACGATCAGCTGAATCATGTCCCTGTGAGTTCCTCGAGAATAGATAATAGAGATTAGATATTGGATCAAGTCCATGGTCAATAGTGCAGTCAGATTACATACACTGGAAATTGATACGACTTTTCCTAAATTGACGATAATTTGCAGAATCAAATTTGAGCAGCTACAGCGGTTCTGGCTCTTTTTTTTCTCCACATCGCTGTATTTTCCTGAATACTGGATCATTTACTTCTCGCCTTCACTTAGCAAAACCATTACAATATTAAAATGTCAATATTAAAATGAAAAGCTGATCTGAAACACTATCTTGAACCAAGAAAGAGGACAGTAGCAATAATTATGGATTTTACAGACTTGTGTAAATGTATCTTAGATCTCCTCTTCCCTTGTTTGTTTCCATGTTTCCTTTTCATCCTATTCAGTCATTTTAACCTTGTGGGCCCAGACAACTGTCTGTACATCCCTGAGTTTGATCTGCTTAAGTTAAAAGTCAGATTTTTCCCAACATCACTAGCACAGAGTGCCTCCTCATTGTGTAAAATGCTTCTCTTTCTTTTATACTCTCAGGTCTTAGCCTAAATAAGCAAAGGGATTTCAAATAATGTATGTTTTGATGTGGTGCAATATAATAATTTGTTCTTTTGTTTTTGATTTTTCTTTTTTTTTGGTCTGTGTAACCCTCTTTGATCTTCCATTCTTTTAATCTACATTAAGATATCAGGATCTTACGTGCAGCTTTTACCTGAGACGTGATGAGGTAGAGAAACTCCCCTAGTGGTGGCAGTAGAAAATGCTTCACTTTATTATTCCTCTGATTTTCCCTCAACAGGTCCGTCATTGATGTCACAGCCTGGTGAGAGAGAAGAGAAAGGATGCATTTTATTTATTAAAAATGACCCCAAAAAATAAACAGACGTTTAAAAAAGAGGTCTCAACCAGGTTGTTCTCCCACTGAATAATGAGACTTAAAATCACTAATTCATTACATGACAATGCATCTGAAGGTGTACAATCAGACCATGCAGCATGAAAGAACCATTGGGTAAAGCTACTTGAGCAATTAAACCGATTTCAATAAATCTCCAGCTTCTCCAGGCTACTCTTTTTGTTAGTAAATCTGACTAGAGACTAAAGAGCAAGAAGGATCATCAAGTGAAAATCGCAGTATTTTAATCAAATACCAACTTACTTACTTCTGTAAACCTTCTGAGTATTCATTTTGATTTTTAAGAAGATGGCTTCTCTACTGTCTAAGATTCATTCAACTTCAGATAAAAACTGTACAGTATTAAAATGTATGTGTAGCTGAAGGAGAGTCAGGCTGAATGTACCAATGTACAGAGCAGCATCATCAGCATAAACTAACAATTTACATTGTTGCAAGTTTAGAGTAGTTTTTGGACAAACTACGGGGGGTCACCATGAACTGCAGTGAGAGATTTGGGTTTAATCTGCCTGACCATGTTCAGTTCAACGATGAGGAACAGTGAAAGTTGTACAGAGGGTATTTAAAAAAAAAAAAAAAAAAAACTAGCTGCCTCTACATATCATCATTAATTAATTAATTTAATTAGTTTACTCACTGCTAAGACTATTTTTAGCATCAGTGCTCCACCTGTCACGGGCTTTGACAGTGCATTTGCAGGAAAAAGACTAAAGGTGAGTAAGGTATCTTGTTGAGTAGTATTGTTATGACAGTAATATGAGGTGGTGAGAAAAAACCTGTGTGTAAATGCCCTCATAAATGAAATAATGAAGTCAGAAGAGTAGATTTACTAAAATTCAGCCAAAATGTGTGGGAGAGCAGTAGAAGGTAGAACTCTGAGCTGGACAGAAACCTTGTTGTTGAAAAAAAAAACATTCAAATACACACAGTCATACATTTGCACACATACACACAACGATGTACAATTACTGTATGCGCACATATAACTAGGTAAACAAATGCAACACTTGTTTAACTGAGACAAACACACACACAGAGTACAGAATTAACTATATGCAGAGACAGCTTTGCTGGCTGCCTGGCTGCTTCTTGGCATTAGCATTACTGCCAGCTTTCCCCCTCTCTGTGATCTAAAGCAAAATCTGCCTCACTCCTGTAGCTCTCCCTTCTCCACATTTTTCCTTTTCCTTTTTGCTGCTCTCTCTATCCTCACTCTGTTGTACTCTCAAACTTTTTTTTTTCTTAATTTTGTCTTTACTTTGAATTGCCCTCAATATACAGTTTCCATCACCCGGTATCTCTCAGGCGCTCACCTACAATTTTAGCTCTCACTTGTTACCGTCTCTCACCTTCCGTCACCCTTTCTCACAGAAGGGTGCGGAGAGGTAACAAGTCTGTTAGTCACATCTCTCTCAACATGCTGCATGTCTTTCCTGGGAGAATTTTTTTATTTTTTTTATTTTTTTTTTCAAATATCAATGGTGTATCATTATGCTGAGCCATGTATGAGCATGCTAGGGTAACAGTTTGTCACAGGAATCCTAAACATACAAATCATATTTCCAATAATTTGGCAGCCTTCTTTGAAATTCAGCAAAACATTTGTGGTTTGTCAATTCACTTAATTCCCTATCTCTTGGACTGTAAGAAAAAGAAAGTTATTGCGGGAGGAAAAAGGAAGGGGAGGGAGGGTAAATTACATGATTTAATTTGTTAAACAAGAACAGGTCAGGGCTTAACTTTTGTCTTGAGAGCGCCCTACATTAATTTTGTGCAGCAACATCATCAAGTTTAAGCATTTGGACCAAAGATAACAAACATGTCATACTGCAGGAGGGTGGTGTGAATCACGATGTGTTTATGTACTACATCCAAAATAGACCATTTGAAAATAAAGTCTCATAAGAAAATAATAATGTTCCCATCATTGCAGGAACCATAGCTTTCTTCACAAAGTGATTAGTGTAGTTTTGTAGACATTGAGTGCATGCACCTGACTGGACAAGTCTAGATGCTCAGACCTGTGTTTCCTATTTACAACAACCTAAAAAATCTGCTTCATCAAACATTTGCTACATTTAGACAGCTAGAGTCATTAATGGGCTACAATCTACTTTTAGACAGCTACAGTCATTAATGGAGTAAAGAGCAACTCAGAGGTTGGTCAGTAGCTACAATCTACTTTTAGACAGCTACAGCGTTAATGCAGTAAAGAGCAACTCTCAGGTTGGTCTGTGAAAAGATAAAAGATCTAACCTGTAACCTTTTGTTTTTAAACTGTGATAAGAGTTCAAGTGCAAGAATTTGCTGTGACCTTTGTTGACAGCGGGCTGTAGAGAAAAGAAGACAACCATGTTCTAAAGTCTAATGTTTAGACTTCAAATTATCAACTCAAACTGTGTTGTCAAACTGACCACACAGATGTTCTCCTTACAATCACAGTACTCATTATTTACATCAGTTACTCTCTGGTCTCTTACTCCATAAACAACAACAACAACATCTACAGAACACAGACAGTGAGAGCACAGTTTTAAACCTGAAACACTGGCATTTAAACGTGTGTGGTCCAACATTTAAATTCCCCAAAATGTTGCCTGACTCTGTAGTAAGTATGGTGTGCTGCAGTTATTGGATGCCATAATTAAAGTAAATGCGACCGGCACTACACTGACACGCACTCGCAATTTTCTACCAAAATGGGTTGTCATTATCTCTGCATCAACACTCCCTCAGATCAAATAATGCACATGAATGCACACAGAGGAAACACAAACATTATGTCCTTAATTAATATGCATAAGCAACACTGGAACACTGGCAGGGAGAATAAAAATGAGTCCCAGCACAACACAAAGAAGTTTTTGTACACACACACAAACAAGAACAACACACGCAGCACACGAGCAGGTCGATATGTGGCTACGACGAACACAGAGAAATTACTGCAGAGACGACGATGTTGAACTGTTGTATACCTTAAAAGTACCTTTAAAGTCTTTCAGAAACATCTCATCTTTAATTTGGGGAAAATTAATCAGAAATTAGCCTCTTTAAAACATTCACATTGCTGTCTTACAGCAAAGACACCCTGGATGACAACCAAAAATTGGTTTTGGTTTGGGTTTGTGTGTTTGTTTTTTTCATTTAAACACATTTTCTTTTCTGTTATTGACCTTCTGGGGCTCTAGACAAAACATCTTTAAAACAGGAAATGCTCCTGCCGTATTCGTTGTTAGACCCAAAGTACATACTGTAGAGAAGACTTTGAAAAACATTTCAAAACATCCATTAGGAGTCTGATAGTTGCTTCTTGTTATTCAGACTCATTTGAGTTCCAGGACACATCACATATTTTTTCAGGTAATGTTTTCCCTGAGCCAACATTGTTTGAATGTTTGTTTCTCAAGATTATGTTGGGCTTTTAGAATGCATTAGGAGCACATATCCCCACAAGACAGCCATGGCAGAGGACATCTTATTTTAACAACACCACTGCATAAACCAAAGAAAAATAACAGTAATGTTGAACTACAGCAAAGGGGAAAACATCCTCTCTTGTTAGCTCTAAAAACAGGGGGTCTGCAAACTCTATCACACGACAGAATTAGGCAGTTAGAAGAAGAAGAAAAAAAAAGAAGTATAACTTTTACTAAGTAAAGCAAAAGTGCCTGGACAAATTGTTTTTGTTTGTTTTGCATTTGTGTGTGCCTGTGTGTGTATGTGGGTGTGTAATGTTTTTTGGGTGGAGGCAAAGGGGTAATCGAAGCATATAGCAGTTACTATGGTAACTAAACCCAACCCTGTCAGTCCAATCAGCAGGACTGCAGCAGAAGAACCCCTGCTGAGAGGCTTGCAGACACAGACACACAAAAATAACATGCACATTCACACTAACAGGGAAAACAATATACACAGTGCTGAGCAGCAGACAGACAAACTCTGCTGAGTGCAACCGAAATCCCTTCAACACCCACCATAACAACACAACACACACACAAACACAAACGTAATGACACAAAGTAAAACTTGCACAAACGTACAGATTTTTTCCTTGCGCTAACGATTTGTCACACAACTGCAACTTCAGGAAGGCAGGGGGAATATAAGAAATTTCATCATTTGTCTTTAACAACAGGCCCACTGAAACACACACACTGCTCTGCCACAGTCAGCCATTTTGTAAATCGCCATGACGTCGTGGTGGCTGTGAAGTGTCAGAACAAGTGGAGAAAGAGAGCAAAAGGGAAAACTGGGAAAATGATTTGATTGGGACAAATATAAACCAAAACACTAAGACAAAAAGTAAACACTAACAAGGAGGAACAGGACTACACAGTGTTTTTTTTTTTCTCTCTTTTCAGAATAACAGGGACAAAACTAAGACGGCTCCTTGTGTCGTCTCATATGTGTGTGAGAGAAGACAATTAAAGGTTGGTTCAGTAAAGTTAATGAACTGTATTTAAAGCAACACTCCTGCAGTTGTGCAGTGAAAGGTGTTTGTAATTATCCTTTGTAATTACATTAAAAGAGCTGGTATGAAACCACAGATAAACACTAGGAACAACAGAGAAAAGTACTGAAAGGATGACATTGCAGGAGTTTAGCTACTAGCACTGGTACGTTAGCTCAGCTGACCTTTATCTGAACATCTGTGAAGTAACGCTTCACAAGCTTCAGGTAGATGTTGATGTGTCAGTCATGTCCAATAGTGACATGGTGTTTTAATGCTGAACAATATTTACACAGAGCATTGTTTAATAAGACAAAGTAAATTGATGTATTTGAAAAGTGTGGCTCGACATGACTGACAATCTAGAGGCAATTTAAAATTCAAATGGTATTTGGAGAAATGTCACTGAACATTATCAGAGCTGAGTCAGAAGAGATCTTTCTGTTTGGTGTATATATATGTGAAATAGCAATTAAAAAAAGTTTTCATTCTGATTCAAATATGTTGATAGTTATTATGATAATCACTGACTCCTTATAAAATGTATCAAGTATTCGTCTTGTGTTACACTCGTGTGTTCTTTTTATGACACTTAATAAGATTAATAAGATTAATAAGAGTGACGTTGTTTTTGTGTGTACCTTGGATCATGCGAGTCTTTTAGTATTGAAGCTTTTTAATGCCACCTACTGGTACGATATAGTACTGCAGAATAAACCGAACTTCGACCCGGTTAAAATCCTAATTCTTTTTATAGATGAAAGATCCCTTCAATGTTATCATAGCTTTTACACACTGGGCGCTTCTGACGAAATAGCAACTAAATTTAAAGAGAGTGACCATATATATGTCAAACACACTGGAGAATTAAACAACTAGATTTAAAGAGAATGACCATTCTCCACCAACACACTGGAGAATTGACGTCAACTGAGAGCAATAATTATTTAACTTTTAGGCAGCACAGCTGTCCTTTTGCTAATGCATCTTAATATATATGAGGTTGTCCAAATATATAATTATACTTACACTATTGTCCTTTTGCTAATGCATCTTAATATATGAGACTGTGAAAAATATACGTATACTTACACTATAATATACTATATAATATACTTATACTGAACTACTATATACCATATACAGTAGTGGAAATGGTGGGTTATTGGTGGTCTATACTGCCACCACGTGGTGAATATCGTTAAAGCCTTGGTGGAACAAAGATTAAAAAGTTTCCTTATCTCCTGTGTCTGTCATTAATGATGACTTTATCTGTTTGTTTAAAATTAACTAAAGGTTATAAGGAGTTCAAGTCATTATTTCAGACAGTACTGTTTCTGCTCATGTGCACTGCAGACAGGCTGAAATAAAGAATATAATCATATAATTATATTTTCTAACTGGATAAAAGTAAATTATTATATTTTCTAACTGGATAAAAGTAAAGTATTAAGGTTATACTTTTGTGTGTGTGTGTGTTTAAACCTCAGAAACAGGACTCTCCTCTTCCAGTTCAGTACAGTGCAGAGCCAGGAGACCCATCACTCTGAGACACTTGCTGCGTCTGGAAAACATTTGGTCATCTAATTAAACGATGGTGGAATTAAAAGTGAAAAAAATTGATTTTTCTCTCAAGTTAGAAAAATCTTATTTTATTTTACTTGATTAAATCATTTTTAAACTATTTCATGAGTAGTGTTGCCCATCCCACATTCCTGGAGATGAACAAAAAATGTATGAAGGTTGATAGAAAATGTACTTACATATCCCAGTTAGGAGCCTGTTGTAACACTGTGAGTAAACTTGGAAGCTATGAGAAAAAAATAACAATTTTAGAAAAAAAAAAAAGAGAGAATGTGAAAACACTGTTGTTTACGATGGTAAACCATGACTTTTATACCCTTTATTTTTTAAAGTTTTATATGTACTTTATATTAAAATAGAATTGCAGATTGTCCTACCAGTTCTGAGTTTATCAGTTTGTTGGCAACATGTTCATGCCCGGCCACAGAGCAGAGATAACACAACAAGTTCAACTTGGAGCGAGCAGCTGACACAGGGGTAACAGAAGCTGTGGAGGAGGCCACAAATGTCGAGCCATTTTGTTCTTCAAGAGAAGAACACATTTTTGACAGGAAGAGAGTCCATTTTTTATCACTTAAAGAGTGAAGCTTCTCAGCTGGAAGATAGAAAAGGAAAGTAAAAAAAAAATGAGGTTCTTGCTTCTAAAAGCACAAATACTTGATACGAAAAATAAAGTACCTGAATATACTGGAACACACAGTGTTTTAGGATCAAATCGCACTGGACAACTCTTAAGAACCTATACAATAGAAACAGAACCAAGAAATTTTGATTATTTTTCCACCATCTTTCTTTCCCTCAGGCTGACATTTATTGCTGAACCAACATGTTCAATATACAATTAACCTTGGGATTGTCCATGATTGGAGTGACAGTCAGGTCGGCATCAGTATGGAGAAGTCTTTTAATACAAGATGTGATCTCAGGGCCAGCACTCACCTTAAAGCAGGAGTAAAAAGATAGAGTAGGGTGAGGTATTTAATAAGTACTAGCAGGAAAACAAACTTTTTGACACAAAACCTGTTCAGCCAATCAGACAAATAGTCATTTCATCAAAAAACAATATAAAAAAACACAAATGAGTACAAATGGCAGACCTTGTGGGCTACGGCCGTGTTGACCTGAGACGTTGGTCCTTGGTATGGGAAGTTTTTGGAAATGCAACTCCTCCTTAAGTTAGAAAATAAAATATACCAAAAATTAAAATGTGAACACTTAATGGTAAGCTAATATATTTTGTTAACTCTACATGAAGGTATTCAACAGGCAACAGTTTCCTAAGTCCTAAACATCAGACCACAAAAAAACAGCCATTAAAACAGAAAAGGTTTTTAACATGCCTTGACATTTTAGACAAAAGATACTGAGCTGTTATCATTCAGATTAATGAGCAACAGGTCAACAAGCAGGAGCTCAGCTTGAGTTACAGTTTACCTGAGGACAAACATTTCCTCAGTGTGGTCTTCATCTACTCCACTCTTTGGTTGGAGCTCCGATATGTTATCTGAAGGAAAGACACACACACGTTACTGTACTCCACATTATACAAATACTACATTGTGTAGTGCATGGTAAACGTTGACATAAAACAAACCTGTCTATATCAATGAAAAGCAACTACAGTCACACAGGGGACCAAACCTGTTACCTAATAGTGTCCTCGTCATGACTGGGCCTTTATACGGTAATTATAAAGCCTCAGTGCTAACATAGCATGCAGGTGTATGACGTGAGTCGCCCTCAATAACTGCAGTAAAGTCAATGAGTCAGTTCAGACTTGACCAGCTTCAATACCCGCAGCAGACCACATTTAATCAGGGAGCTTATTTAAACTGTAGTACTTTCCAGACTTGTGTCAGTGTTACTCCCACTCCAGTATTCACCTGTGCGTTCACTTCTTTTATCTCATGTAACATGATGCATGAAGGACCATGATATTCAAGCCTAGACACCAAACAATAACATTAGCTTGGCTGCTGCGATCAATATTTTAATAACACAATGTACGACTGACATGCTGGTTTTTTTTATAGTGAAAATGTTAAACGCAACCACACATTTTTAGATTTAGCCACTCAAATAAACTCATGCAGTAGTACTGAGGTTAATCATTAACAGATGCAGATAACAGTTTATACACGTTACCTAGTGTGAATGATTTATTGAGCATCATTGTGTGACAGGATTTCTTCACTCTAGTTAGCTTGGAGTCATTTACTGCCTCCGTTGGCCTCTTCTCTATTCTTTCCTTTTCCAAACTCGGGCTATTCCCCAAGGCTCCACCTCTACTGTGTCCTACAGGTGGTTGGCTGTCTGTTCCTCTGTCTGTTGCTGCAGGCGTTAGTGATGAGACTGCTCTCAGGTCAGTCGTATTAGCTGGCAGGGTGATAGGTGATTGGGTTTTGGGACTCTCATCTGCCGATGCTGTAGGTAAATAATCAGGAGTAGCTGTGTGTCTGGATGGAGACAAAAAAAAGGCTTATACTCAACAGCACAGTTTCATCTTCAGCAACAACACGTATGACCTTTGGTGTTGCTGCCTAACACAGACAACAATGAAAATATTAGTACAAAGGCTGTAACATCATATGTAAATAAGGCAACACACAGCAAGGTGACTGGTAAAACTCCATAATGGCTGTAATCCCTCAGCTGCTCGACTTTATCTTCCTCCATCACTAATGGTGCCCAAAAAGGATGATCCAGCAACTCTGGCCAGTATATCCTAAAGGAGAAAAAAACATTAATAAATAATTTAAAAAAACACAAAATATTCAAAGAAACCCTAGATTAAGTGTTAAAATTAGGATCACAAAACAAATGTTGGCAAATATGAAGTTATGGTAATGTCACAGATAAAAAGGACGCTGAACCTCTTCTCTGGGCTTTTAATGAGTAAGGCTTTTAGAAGGTTTTGGAAGTCTTCACAGGGTAAACTGCCTGAAAACACAAACAAAAAAAGCAAACTAAAAAATGTGTCCAGTTAAAAAAAAAGAAAGAGAGAAATTTTTGCTATGTAAATTCAAATACTTTTGGTACCTTTTTGTCTGGGAGGTGGTGGTTCCTGATATAAAATCATTTCTTTCAGCTCAGAATGGCTCGTAGAGTAAAATGGAGGTTTGCCTGAAACACAAGAAGCATTTTTGATTAGATTTATAACACATTCTCACATAGTCTATAATATACTGCCTGCTGTAATGGTTCAGCTTCACACACTAGTTCAGTCATCAATCACTCACTTTAATTATGTTATTTACTGTTAAAAAATGTATTATCATATTAATATAAATTGTGTGTGTATTACCAGTGTACATGTAGTACAGTATACACCCCAGAGCCCACAGATCTGAGCTCATGCTGGTTTCTGATCCTTTCAGAACCTCTGGTGCAGTGTACACTGGAGAACCTTGAAAAAAAAATTTAAACAATGTGTAAATACCTGTGGTTTTTAATGTCATATTGTGGCATGGTTAATTGTGAATTCTTTTGTATTTACATACACTAATTACAGGTTCTGTGGTGTTGTAAGTCACATGTGTTATAATTATTGGAGCTATCACAGTGGCTAATGGGAAGAGGACCTGGTTTTAGAACGGACGGTTTGAAATCCCTTCTGAAAGCAGTCTCTGTTCCCAAGGCATGGGTTGAAGGATTAAAAGCAGGAGACATGTTTTGTCATGTTTGTTTGTGTCTAAAACCTGTATGTTACAATGACAATAAAGCTGATCATTTAAAGGTGGAAGAGCTGACCTTGTAGCCTCGTTCTCACATTGTCACAGTCTGCCTTTTCATCTCCCTCGTTTGGTGAGGAGAACAAGGTATAGAAATCCTTCATTGTCTCATCTTCCAACTTAGACAGACAAAAGTTACTGAATTTCAGCATGCAACTACCATCCAGCACAATCTGAGGACGAGGAGAAGACAGATGCATGTTCAATGTTGCTGTTAGTCTGAGCTTAATGTTTGATACAATTAAAGCAAACCTTTGTGGGGGTCAGGTCAGATAATATGATCCCCATTTCATGAATGTATTTCAGACCTTTGACCAAATTCCATCCAAAACTCCTGACTACATCTTCTAGCAGATATCCATCCTGAACAATCACAGTATCTAGTGAGCCACCTATCAGAGTAGTTGAAAAATAACAGAAAGGAAAAAAAACTGTAAGTATTCAAAAATATTATTCAATATGCAGTATATTTTCTGACTTTTGGTAAAAGCAGTTTAAAACAACAAACAGACTTGTCATCTCAGAACTCACCTGTGCAGAGCTCCACCACCAACCAGAGGTGATTATTGCTCTCATACCACTCATAGAATTGTACAATGTTGGGGTGATCCAGATCTTGGCTAAGACGAACCTTAGAGGAAACACAAGTAAGACATTATGAACATGATTGCTTTACTGAGTTGCAAACATGTTTTGTTTTTGTATTTAATCATGTTTGGAAGTCAAATAAAAAGTTAAAATCCATCTATTTTTATTAAAGATGTCAGAGAACACTTCAACCAACATGGTTTGCGATCTCAGGTCTCTTGGATTTGTCAGCGCAGACAATGGCCACATATTTGAGAGTCCCCTTTCGCCTTCCTTTATAGACAACAGACCTACTTCCAGACCCAAGCTGCTCATAGAGAATATAGTTTTCCATCTGCTGTAGATAAAAGAAAGTAAGCATAAAAAAAATTAAAATTAATTACATTGTTACTTTAATCACAAAAACCTTGTAAATAATTACATTTTTATTATAATCTGCAACAATTAATTTAGCCATTATAAACTGTATAATATATTTATATATTCATAGTCATAAGGAAAAACATAATGGATGTACACTCACCAACAGCCAAAGTTTAACTATCATAATACAGTGGTCACCTGTTGACTAATTAGCTGTTTTAACACCTACACCTGTTGTATTTGACGCTAGGAAAGCTGCTCTAGGCGGTCCACCAGATAAAAATTAATAAAATAACAAACAAACCTGGCAGAAATGAAGGATAAAAATAGTAACACGAGATCTGTACGGACAAATAAACATACAATGCTTTTGCCTTTACGTCAGTTTGAAGCTGAAGATACTGCAGTTGTCAACAATTGAGAACAGTCAGCAGATAAACTCTAGTCTATGGTTAGGTTCTCACATTAAACTGCATAAAGTTTTAAGAATTACTCATTTAATTTTTCTTATTTTGTTTTTATTTCCTAAACATATTATTCAGTTATATCTGAACTTACCTCTTAGGTGACTCGCCGTTTGTTGGCGGAAGCGTGTGGCACAACGTCATTTCAACTGACAGGGGGGAGTCTGTACTACTTTAGATAAATGAAATCGAACAATTTCACATGTAAATTCTAAAATATGTATAAAGAAATATTACTAGAATTTAGAATTTTTAAAAATGGGTTGAACAGGCTGGTAACTCCTTTGTTTGTGGTGAAACCTTTACTGTTTCTTTTTAAAAAACTACCTCTGTGGTGAAACCTTTACTGTTTCTTTTTGATAATTACCTTCAAATGGTACATTCTGCGTTGCTAGGACACGGACAGCGTGTGCTGGGAGTAGCTCGCATGAATGAACTGTTGTGTCGACAGTTAAAAGTTGTTTTTTCAGTCAGAAACGCGTCGAACTTGTTTAAACTTAATATCGTCACCACTTCTTTTCTGCATTACATTGTACACGTTATTGATTATTTATTTTATCCCTAAATGTACACAGATTTTGAGATTGTTTTATATATTACCACAATACTATTCGTAGTACGCGAGAGGCCTCTGTACGACAACAAGTTGTACGTCTAATTTGTGTTTGGAGTTAACCTGCAAACCTACACATGCGCGCGCGCACACGTTGCTATTTGTTAAAAGTGTTGATACAGTAATTTGTGTTTGGAGTTAACCTGCAAATCTACACATGTTAAAAGTGTCACGTTGCTATTTGTTAAAAGTGTTGATACAGTGAATGATACAGTTTGTAAACGAAACAAACTGATTTCAGCAGCTTGTCAGTGAAAACACACGCGAGAACAGAATGACGTCATCCATTGTGGCAAACAGGCAGCAGGGCACAAAGGAGTAGTGACACTCTCAAACGGATTTTCTGCAGCCAGTACTGCAAGGCGACTTTGCATCTAAAATGTCTCTAACTAATGTTTAACATAAATATTGGGTGATCATGGATTGTGATTTCTTGATCTGTTTTATCTTGCATTGTGTTTTTTAAAGTAAAAGCATTGTGTTTAATCCACAAGTAACACTGTAAAATGGTTCAGTCTCGTTTCTAGAACGTGCTATTAACTGTACCAAGCTGTTGATTATTTTAAATATAAAAATTAAAAGTAGAGCAAATTAGAATTAAACCCGGTTGAAATGCGTTTGGTTTAATTGTAGATTAACTAACTAATGTTTTTGGCTAGGCTGTATAACTTAGTTTTGCACTGTTTTTGACAGAATAAACGAAGAAAATAGTTTAAATGAAAGCCTTTCCAACACATAAGTCAAAGATGGGCACCAGGGTACTGTTTCCTGTGAGTTCATGTCATTCTACAAAATAAAACAAACGTTTTATATTAGCAGTTCAAGTATTACTCAACTATGAAGACGTGGTGCACTTAGCAGTCAGACCACTAGGAGTTATAGAAATGATAGTTGCATCATTATGATCATACTAGCAATACCAGTAACACTAGTTGTAGAAGTCATCAAAGCAAATATGATAATATGAATGGTAATTAAATGGTGATATAAGTGTCAGTCGTTTTCAGTGGTTGTAATAATAATTGTAGTAGAGATAACAATTGCATTTAACAGCCATAACAGCATTTGTAAAAACCACTAAGTTGAATTAAGCTGTTGTAGTAGAGGCAGGTGTAACAATAACAGTCGTAAATACAAAAACGCGCTGTATTAGCATAAGCTATAAGAGTAACAGTATTATTATTCGTCCTTGTAGTGGTATTTCTGATACTAGTAATCGATGTGTTGTGTTAGTTTGGGTCAAGAGTTTAGATTCGAATTGAGATCGCCTTTACTTTCTTATGTCACAAACCGGATGTAGCATTTCGTACTTTGTTACTTCATACAGCGCTGCTCAGCTGCTTTGTTTCCATGAGGCGTCGCAGAGTGTGGGCATTCGCTTATGTACAGAAACACTCACAGAAGTTTACTTGAGCTTCTCTTCTGGCTAATTTATAGTTGGATCACATTCCGTGTGTTTTCCTCTCTCCCGGGTCTGTTTTACGCCCCAGATCATTAAGTTCACTGCTCCATATCCGGTCGGCGACGGTGGCTTTCACCGGCTCAATTTACGTCCCCAGACGGACAGTGCGGTGGAGTCTATCAAAGTGGGGAAAGCGGAATATTTATTGCCGGTGGGATCGTTTTTAACATATGAGTGAAGTGAGGTAAGAAGTTCTGTGATAGTTTTTAATCGTTTGCCACTGTGTTTAATAGTTTGATGTTTATGTTGAAGGTGACGGAACAGGTGCAGAGAACGCCTCACGGTTTGATTAAATGTGATCTCCCGCATGTGTCAGTTTCTTACGGTTTATTGGATGCTGCATTTTCTTTACCACATCTCTGAAATGATATATGATAATATTTCTGATTCCGTTGTCTTCCTATTTACTGCTTTATCCTCTTTGTTCCCCCAGTTTCTGACTGGTTTTTGGGACTAAGGAAAAATATCAGTTTTGAGACCTTGTATTAACTAAATGGTTGCACCTTTTAATAAGATTGGTTTCACTGTGGGCTTGCCCTAATCCTGCCTTTGTTGTAAACCTGTCTGGACTCATTAAACGTGACCTCAGGTCATCTCAGCCTCCATAAGCTGCCTGACATATGATCACACAGCTGCTGCCTCTCACTGGCTGTGGGCAAAGTTTGCTTCTGTACGTGACATGTGACATGAGCTTTTTTGAATTTACATAGTCAGTCATTTGAATCGGTGGTCCTTTTTTTTTCCACTATGGATTGTAGCATTCCCACTACGTCAAAAAATGATGGCGCCCCAGGTTAAAATTTCACGCATGTAACTTATGATTATGACTCACGACCTTCACGTGCTGTGAGCAAGACAAGACCAATCAATGTCCTGGACAAGAAATTTTCTCAAATGTCCTTGTGTCGTATTACAGTGAAAGTGTGTCAACAGTAAAAACCTATTGTGTGAGTTAATGTGCATGAGTTAGTTAAAGAGACCAGCAGATGCTTCACCCTTTTACTCTACAGTGCAGCCCTCCATTGTTGGGAAACAGGAAAAAACATTGGGAAACCAGAGAAAAAGCACACAGTGCCACCCTTGATATAGCTACCTAAAGCTAAAGTAAAACCTATAGTGCTGTCACTTTCTTCCAAAATTCTACAATCCAAAAAAAATCAAATCCAAGAAACATTACTGGAAACTGGTTCTGGAATGTTCTCAAGATGCGTTCTGGAGTTCTGTAGAACCCAGGGATATGTACCTTCTATTTGTTGAAGTATCATTGCCTTCCTGCCTGTACTAAAGAAAGGTCAAGGTCTTTGGAACACAGCTTGATGTGACATGTGTCCACAAGCCAGTGTATTGTTTGACGTTAGCAGGACACTAACCAGTGTTGTTAGATAGAATATGACCCCAAATGTCCTCAAAGCCAGATTCTATGGGATTGAATCATTCCAAAGAATGTAAAACACAACTGTTTCACTTTTTTTGTTGCTTGAAGACTTCTAATGCCTACGTGTCTGTGTAAGAGTTTGCTCCTTAATCACTGAGTCACCTTGGAGATAAGTGAGGCTGGCTGGGATCATGATTTATAAAATGCACAGTCTCCTTAATGGAGGATCCCATTACACTAGAGAATTAGACCCTCGCCATGTCTGCTGCATGTTTTCTGGCATTATAAATGAAGTCAGAAGTGACATTTCTATTATGTTTTTGGTTGATATAGCAACTATTTTGTAAACAGAAAACATTAAACATGAGACTGTAATGGAATATTTGGTTAAACTTCTCAGAGGGGAAAGCTGCAGACTCTGAATTGTTTCTATCCCTCCATGTTGAGGAGTCAGGGATTTTCATGTTTAGCTGAGTCTGTCCTCATAAGCTAAATAAGGTTCCAGTGGGCTTTGCCAACTACTTGCACATGATCTGTGGACAGCCTGCGTAGCGTTACTGTCTTACCGCTTAAACACCCAGCAGGCCTTGCTGTTAACACGGAGGATACTGAGTGAGAGTTCGCACTGCCAAGAGCTTTACCTCATCAAGATACACACCGCATATATATGTATCCGCTGTCTATGACAGACAGATTAAAACAAACACCGACGCCTGCCCATCTGACTGCCTTATTGCTCTGTACATGCACACGCTCACGTAGTAGTAGCAAAGTGTTACATCAGTCATTGTGATATGACCTAGGTCATGTCATTTAAAATTTTAGGGAGTAACAAGTGTTAAGTACTGTAGCTAACAAATATGTTTGTCTTTTGACAATTTATTTTAATTGTGTTATTAAGTTATTATTAGAAGTTATTATGTTTTATACATTAGGTTTTGTACAAGCACAAGTGAAAATCAAATGTTAAGAGGAAGTCAACAATGGTTTCTAAATGTGTAAGACATTTTACTACAGCAATGGAAAATAAGTGTTTTGGTTTTTTTTTACAGTCTATCATGAATGCATGTGGTTTTTATTGCTGTCTCAATCCTAAACTCTGCTAACAAGTGTAAATGTGAAATAGTTTATAAAGTAAATATTTAAAAAATATATCAGAAAGTAGATGACGATAGCATAAAGACTCTTTTTTATGGAACAAATTTAATTCTCAATAAAAAACATTTGCACCAGCACTTATTTAAACTTTAATGAATATATTTGTTCCCTCTAAGTATACTTATACTTTCTTTTTTTGTCTTAAGCTTTGTTGTTTCCATTTGTCCACATGGCTTGAGCCAAAATACACTTAGGTGTTTAAACTATATCAATCAAAATAATTTTAATCATCATTTCATTTATTTAACAGGACTAAACACTAATTTGGATGCACAGAAAAATATATCTCAAATTGTGTGATCTGAAGTTATTTCAAAATTTTAATATTTTAGGGAAAGTGTTGGTTTATGGTAAGTGACAGACAGGAATGCTAACTTCATGTAAACGTATTGACAAGCTAATGTGGAGAAAGGAGATTAAAGCAGTATTTAATTCAGTAAAAGCAAAGCATCTCCTTCTGTTTAAGGTCTTTTTTGCTGACAACGTGTCTTATTAAGAGATCCTGAAAGACTGTTTAGCTGTGATTAAACTAAAGCCTTGAACCATGTATGACTCTTATTTATCCACTTTTGTATTTCTCGTACAAATAACACTTTTCTCTCACATTTTCCCTTTCATCTTTCATAATATCTTCTTATCTAACTCATGTTCCCACACTATCAGTTCGTGTTTTTTTTTTACTAACTCAGCACTATTTCCTGTCTGACATTATAGGGTGGTTGTGTCCTATTTTAAGGTCCACAGCTCAATCTGGTTGTATTAACTGTTAACCGGTTGCCAACCTGCCTTATGTCACGCCTGATTTATTGCACTAGCACTAATGATCGGACAGTTTATACCACACTACAAAGGGTGTGGCCCACAGCTAACCTCCCCCCGGCTTCACGCACCAACTGTAAAGTCTCCTTAGCAAATGTCAGACATTTCAGTGAGAGCAGCTGGTCATGTAATTTGGGCAAAGCCTACAAGTCTCACAGTCTAATTTACCAATCGGTGCAGTTACTGTACATGAACAGTTTAATTGGAAAACTTAGTTGTTCCAATTGTTTGTTTTTTTGTTTTATTTACAGATATTATTTGTACATGAACAGTTTAATTGGAAAACTTCGTTGTTCCAATTGTTTTTTAAGTGTTATTTACAGATATTCTTAATTTATTACAGTAAAAGCTGTAAATTCTGATTCACAGCTTTCTATTCTGTCTACTTTGTACATACTGAAACCACTGCATTGCTATGATGGTGATGTAACATAAAAATGCTTAATTATTTGCAGTATGTGGTCAAGCCTGAGACATTAATTTTAGTACTAACTTAGTAAAGTGAGCAACTTGAAAATCAATCAAATCAGTTTTAGTTTTTATAGAAATATATGAACACAGATCGTTGTGACGTCTCCGTTTTCCTGCAGCGGTGACCAGTTTCAACCGCCTGGTCACCTGCAGCCCATTATCTAAAACACAGCTGACAGGACGTCTCATCTTCCTCTGACTGATCATGTGACCTAGTGGTCTTTGAAATTCAATAGCTTCTATTTTCCTCATCATTCCTTTGTTTGTTCTGTCAATACAAAGACGAGAGTGGACCAAAGGACATACTGTTATAAGCTTGTTCTGGTATTATTAAATAATTGAATACATCGACCTCATTAGGGAATTCACCATATGGATTTGGCTCTGGTTTTAAACTTAACTGTTTAGTACTTACGTACTGTAATATTTGCATTTGATGGACACATCTTGAATAAAAGCTACAGATACCCTTGAAGTGTTAAAAATTGTTTTGAATTTTAAAAATCTGTGCAAACAAACTATTGGAATATTGATGTGATGCATTGATCTTAAAGTGGCTGACAGGAAGTGCCTCAGCCTGGACCTTCCTTCTTTTACATCCTCACTCTGATGCATTACATGTTGAAAGCATTTGAATCCAGTGCAACTTTTACTAACTCCTGTTGTGCAACTAAATCCGACACATTCTGCTGGCTAACATTCTGCAGCTGTAAGACCAAATGGCTTTTTGCATTTAACCAACTTAAGAGACAGGAATCTGATAGTTTTGTTCTGAAGTCCTGTTTAATACCCTGACCTGCAAGAGTGAACTCTGTACAGGCTTCACAGCACACAACAGGAAGTGTTGTCAGTGTTTCCCGTACAACAGTAGTCTTTGAGTTTATAGCAAGTCAGCCACAGCATATGTTAATGTCCTCTCATCCAAACGGACAGAAATAAGAGAGCAGCGAGGTCATCCATCAGCATGGACTTCTACAGTTCACTAAAAACACCTCAAAAACAGCTGTGGAAACTAGCACTAACCTGAAGCAACATTAGTATCTGGTGAAAGTAAGAGAGTTATATGGCATGAAAAATCAATCCAAAGCTGTATTTTAGAGACATTTAAAATTGTAAAATATACTGAAAGACATTTCATTAATTTCAGGGCCACATGGTGAAAGATGTCAGTTTTCTTCCCATACTGCAACAGTGTTGCTGGTGGTAACTGAGGATCTTTCTGTATGGGGTTTAAATGTTATGGGTTCTGTGCAAGGGTTTTTCTCCAGAAACTCTTTCCTTCCACAGTCATGCACAAACATGTAGATGTTATGGGTTTTTCTCCAGAAACTCTGGTTTCCTTCTACAGTCATGCACAAACATGTAAGATTTGGTGAAGTGGAAGCTCTTAATCAACATGAGTCTAAGTTTGAAAGATCTGGCCAAACTGTCTGATGTGTGACCTCCAACCCCTGCCCACCTCCACCTCTGAAATGGTTCAAATCCTAGAAAATCAACAGAAATGAATGAACCGAAGTGATATCAAACATCTCTGCATCATCGTGACTAATACAAATCCTATAAATCAACTATAAAGATCTTACACTTCCTCTGCATTAGACTGCAGCCCAACCCCATTCACTGTGAAGCTCTTTGCAGCACAGGGTGGGATTGGTTTTTGCACAACAACTAATCCTGCTGCATGTTGATGCTGGTTCCTTTGAACTAGAAAATCCAGCACTGTTTGAACATTATCCCAATCATTATGATGATTGCTGACTAGGAAGCGGTACTGTTTAAAAAGTTTTGTTTTTATTTGAATGCCAGAGTGGGGGAGATGGGATGTTTTTTCTCACAGAATCATAATGTCATCACAGCTTGACATATGTTTTGTTATGCCCGTTGTCAAGAGCAACAGTGTCGGGGCATTTAAATGTTCTCTTAAATAATGGAAACTGAATGACCCAGATTTTGTGTCCCACAAGGCTCTAGGATGTGAGTCAATAAATCTAGCCGAAGCCTGGGTGGAAAAGATAAACCCAAAGAAAAGTGAGTAAAGATTTAGGCCTGAGATAATGGTATAAAAGTATAAAGACACAGTAAAAGGAACAGAAGGTGTGGGAGAACAAAAGCTCAGTTGTGTTTTCTAGGTGATAAGGTGGAAGTTAAGGTGTTCAAATAAAGAAACTTCTTGGAAGTTGCATGTGTTTTTGAGGTCCAGACTATTAATAGAAAGTTGTGTAAGTTCCTCCTCAGTTCTGGGCTGGCAGCTGGCTGCTGAGTGAGACAACTGTGATGTTTTTACTCTTCACTAGGAGGACATGGTCTGCAGTACAATAGTGGAAGAACAAGGCTAATTACATGACACTGTTTACTCTTAAATGTGTGAAATAAATTAGATTTACAGGTTACTGTTTTCTTACTTTACTCTAACTAATGGATGGGTGGAGCAGGGTATCTCAATGTCAACAAGTGACTTAAACTACCAGAATCAGGTCCAGCAGGTTGGAGAATAATGCTGAGCCTAGGGTCAGTGCAAAGGCTTCAAACTAATGTCTTTAGGGAAAAGGCAGTGTGCAGGACTGGGATTCATTTGTAACTTCAAACTAATGTCTTTAGGGAAAAGGACTGGGATTCATTTGTAGCAAAAACACACAGCTGCCTTCATCTCCCTGTAGTAGGGGGGTATGCAGTGATCCATTAGCAGGGGATGTATCTAAATTTTTATTCTCTCAAATACTGCATTGATTTTGCAGATTATAAACTGGAAACTGTTGTAAGAAAATAAAAATTAATTCTCATTGTAACCGACACACCTGCTTGTACTTTCTTTATTTTGCAGGGATGCACTGATGCTACATCTTCTGCCACCGCTCTCACCTGTGTTCCCCTGGTCAAACATTCAAAGCTCATCTTGTCTAATGAACTCTACACCAAGCTAACGTCGCCCACACTTGTTTCGGCCCATGGATGATCCCGCCCTAAACCGGTAATCATTTTGCGCCAAGCTGGACCCGAAGACCCCACCTCCCTACACCTGTTCCATCTCCACCACCCCACCCCCTCAACAGTCATGGAACTGTGAACACGTACCTCAGCCACATGACCCGGATCTCCAGTGGGACGCTGAGGTGGACGAATACGTCAGTGAGACGTTTCTCCCAGCTTCACTTCAGGAGTTCACCTACAGAGATGCGGAGACAATTACTGGTAACGTCACTGTACATGCTAATGCTTTATTCATGTGTAGACAGTAATACATTTAACTGTGCTGAATCAGCATTTTATCAAGCAATTTGTCAATGCCAAAGCCTTGATGCTGCGCTCGTATCCTCACAAATATTTAACAACAAAATACATCCAATGGTTGTGAGAGTAAGTGTTTATCTGCCTGCTTGTCTGTGTCTATGAGTCTGCCTGTCCGTCGGCATGCCTGTCTGTGGCTGTGGCTGTGTGTGTGTGCGTTTCTAAGACTGAGGCATGTGGAGCTGTGAGAAACTCCCCCTCTTTTTGACCCGCTGCCTTCTGAAACATCCTGTCAGTGCAGCAGCTCCATGGGACTGTAGGGTTTTGTGTCAGACATCAACAGAGGAGAGCTCCCAGTGGATGGTCTCAGCTAACTTTCCCCTCATCTTCTCCTTCTCTGTTGTCATCTCAGTCATCTGCCTCTTCAGTGCAGGGCTACTCTGTTGTTTTGTCTCCTGTGGTTAGTATTTCAACAGAGTACCTCCCAGATGTTATTGACAAAAACATTTGATCAGAAACCACTCAGGACCGCCCAAAAGGTCTGTCGCTTCCCTGTCACACTCAGCCACTTGTTCAAGTATGGTAGTAAACTTCATTTGATCTTGAAGTTTAAAAAAAAAGCCTGTGAGACTTGTCGTTAACACATCATCAAATATCATCTGATAGTCAAAGGTCAAAGGGCTCTCAACCTCAGATCTCCTCCTTTTTTGATCAACCATTTGTGACATACAACTATCGTCCATTTTTCTGGCGCTGGTACTTCAACATTAGCTGTTGGTCAGCAGGTCCATGTGCTCTATCTTTCTATCTTCTAATGTTGATTGGATCAGCGCATTAATGGCTACTTTTAAATGCATGCTGCTAGAATGATGCTTGGATCAGCAGGAGAAGACATTAGTGCATCATTTTAAACACAGTTCAGTTGTTTAAAGCTATATTTAGTACTTTTCTGCTAGCCTTTTTATTACATTAATGTAGCAAATTGATGCAATCCTTTCTATTGAGATTAAAATATATTATTTTATCCCTGAATCATTTTTTAAAAATTAATATCAAATATGTACAACGGTCATTTATGTCACAGTCATACGTTTGTACAAAGAAATGTTCAAATTCCATATTTAAACTCTTTACAAATAATCATTCAGCGCTAAGGCCAGACGAGAAGGCTAGCTCAGAGCTGCCATCTGTTGGTGTAAAAGCACTACTACAACATACCCTGACACTACAAGGCTTCTCGGGTCTCTCACGCTCCCCTGTACGTTTGTCTTGTCACTAAATCTTCAGCTTAACGTTCATTCAGTGATTGAGGACAGCTGTGTAATTAAAGTGTAGTTTCTCAAAGACTGGAGGGTAAATGAAAACAATGACCTAAATGGAATGCCTCTTCTACTGTCAGGCAGTTCCCTGAGTCACGGTGAATTCACTGTGGCTAAAGGAAACAGTGATGTAAAGCTTTGTGTAACTAAAATTACTGGATACTTGGCAAGAAGGAGTTGGATGTAGAATAAACACAGGCAGACAGAGAGGAGTTGAAGTTACGTAAGTGGAGAAAACAAACTGCTGAGTGTGTTCTCCTCTGATCTTATCGCAGCGGGTGAACCCGGCCTCTGCGTTTAGATTGGTTCCGGTATTGTCACCTCCGGAGTGGGATTATCAGAGTGAATTTGCGGGGATCCATCGGTGCCTCTGTTAACAGCATGTGTTTGTGTTTAAGAGTTGAGGTAACAGGTTGTTGTCCTTGGACTGTAAATGCACTGCATTCTAAACTAATAAAGATAATAATGTCCAGGTTGACTTCACCCTCAAGCAAATTTTGGCCGAGCCTCCGACCTTGTTTTTTTTTCTCTCCTTCTGTTTTGAGAGGGTTCACTAAAGGTCATGTGACGTTGCCTGTGTACTTTGGGCCATGCCATTTCCTGCCATGCACTTACTGTGCATTAGGTTTTTGAAACACATTATAATACTGAACAGAACCTTGAACATTGGATGTTAATCCAATTTCCTGTAATCAGTGCAACATTAATCATTTATTCAGTTCCCAAAAACTGTTTATCTTTAAATTTGTTTGATTGAATTAACTTTTATACAAAGCAATATTTTTTCTACTTCTCTGGTTTGATGAAATTAACATATATTATGGCCAAGGCTTTTGTTCTGTCACCTTGAGTCCTAAATTCTTCTGTTGTTTTGAACAGGCCATTATTGTCATTGTAAATTCTTTGCGTCTCGTTGACCAGTTTGACACACTGTGTGGATGAGGTTAAACCTAGTCATCAGAGTGAACCACTACACTTGAAGTCTTCTTATTTACTACCATATACATCAGGCCTGTGTCTCCATCTGTAAGAGTTAAATGAACAGGAGTGTCTGTCAGAGCTCCATGTAACAGGAGGAAAACAGTAGGAACTGCTTAAGGTTTGTTTTTTATCCACCAACACAAAGAGAGAGAAGTTGGGTTTGAAAGAAGGGAGAGGAAGGAGAGAGGAGGGGGCAGCACATGCTATGGGCGGTCCATGTGGATTCCATCACTGGCATGTCAGACATTACAGACCAGTTTGGCTCAGCACTCTTTAAACCAACCCCCTTTTCCACCCTCTCTCTTTCTGTCTCTTTGACTCTGACACTCTTGTCCCCTCCCTCCTCCTTCCTTTTCCTCTCTCTCCCTCTCTCTCTCCTCTGCCACTTCCATAGAGCCATTTTCTAAAACTTTACACTCCCTCCCTCCTTCTCTTCTCAACTTCTCAGTCTTCCTTCTCTTTTCCTCCTGCTTACTTCCCTTGACCTTGCCCTTTCCTGGAAGAGTGTTCCCTTGACCTTGCCCTTTCCTGGAAGAAAAAAAATGTGATGGCAGGAGAGGAGTTTCACTGACTGTCGGGCTTCAGGCACCATGAGTGAGTACGAAACAAAGCAGAGCGTCAGCTGATCATGTGTTAGCTTGACTAACATCTGTGTGGAGATGATAGTCTCCCTCTCTATCTGTGGATCTCTGTGTTCCTGGGAGTCGTTCACTGAGTCACTCGGTTTCCTCCCTGTTCTGCCTAGTGATCGTTGCTTAAGGAAACTTTACAGTTTGTTTAGAAGAAAACAAGAAATATCACTAACTCTAACATGGACATAACTATTACTTCTGTATATCAAGCACCACTGTGAAATACTGTACTTGCAGTACTGTCCAGACTGTCAAAAACCTTCTGCTTCTGTTCAATGACCTCATTGCTCTGTGTAGTACTACTTGGTCAAGTTATACTGTACAGTACACTGTGCGCAGTGCTGGCTCATGTGTCCTTCCACTAATAGAGGACAGTTCTCTTTTGAGCATGCTCTTTTTATGTGTGTGTAGTTCACGTGTAGCACAGTAAAGATTTATGGTCTGAAACTAATGGTGAATATATTCAGTTTCTGTCTGTGTTGGTTTCTCAGACCCACACTGTGACCGTTGCCCGGTCTTACTTGTGAACTTGAACTTTCTTCCTCTGGTGGTGAGGAGCTGGCACTGCAGATAATCCTCTCCACCGCCACAGTCAATATTTACATTTGAATGTGGGAGTTGAATTAAAACACATGACATGAGTGGCAGAGCACGGGCAAAACTTTGAATCGATGGCTTTCTTTTAAATTCCTCTGTCTGTCTCAGTATAAGAGTTAAACTAAGAATATTTCTGACAGTCATCCCAAAAGAATTTCTCCTCAACAAGCAGCCAATTTTGTTCAACAGGGTAGATGAAATATTTAGACTCAGTGTCTCAGATCAGGTTTCTGTTACTTTAATCAGTCTTGGTCATCACACGCGTGTACTCTCACTTTTTGTCCGTCTCCTCTGACCCTTTTTTCAACACAGCACGAGTTTGTGCTATTATTATCCTGATCCACATCCTATCAGTACTCAGTTTAGAAGTGCACAGGTCATGTTTCACATCGGCACAAAAAGGACACATTGGGAAAAGCAGCAGTATTAGGATCAAGTTTTTGTTACTGTTTGTTAAGTATTTTGAATCAACAGTTTGTATGCTAATTTTGGAGGAAGCCCTGCGCCTTCATCATCAACTCATACTGATTAAGTACCTCTGTTAGTGAGCACTCATAGAGCTCTTGTTGTCTTGATCTGTTACGAGCACATGTCAAAAATGAAAAAAGTTGGGTATATTATGTTAGAGATGCTCAAAAAGTAAATTATTCTTTTGTGGACGGTGACCAAGATATTTAGATTTAAGAGTGAACAGATGAAGGTTTGTGGCCATTTTATTTTGAAAAAAAAAAAAAAAGACTGGATATACGTGTATACAATGTGCACACATTCAAATCTGTGTGACTGTCGTTCTCAACGCATTAAGTCATTCAGTCCATACCAGCAAACTGTGAGGGACATTATTGTTGTGGACAAAGATAGATGGACAGATGACATAAATAGGACATTGTCCACATGATCAAATCTATTCTCACAGCTTCTCTACTTGTCATTACTGGAAGTGTTACTGACTTCCGGAATGTGTTTTCTTTGTTCATGACAAATTGTCAACAGAAAGGCACATACCTGAACTGTTTCTGGTTGACACTGCTGGTTGAGATGGAAGTTTTTTTGTTTGTTTTTATGTGTTTACAAAGCAGTTTGTTTATCTTGTCTCATCACGACTAAAGGTCAGAGAATGATTGACTTTCATTCACTAATGTTTTTCAATGTTTCTCTCATTTTTAATCATATTAAAGCTACAAATGTAGATGTTTTGTTCAAATGTATATCTATCTAAAAACCGCACACTACCAGTTAAGGCCACTAGTGGGCACTCTATACTTTCATTTAAAATACTATGCACATGCTTTTTATATACAGTTACAGTAATTACTTGAATCTCAGGTTTGTCTTTTTTATTATATTTTACTGTGTGAAATGAGTATTTATCTCTTCTGACAACAATCACCATGTCCAGTAACTGCATACTGTTTATTAAGAACTACATTAGAAAATAAATAAAAATTAAAAAAAGTTAAATTAAATTTTTAAATAAATTTGCTCTAACAACTGTGCTTGTGTCTGTCCGTGTGTCTCTACAGATGTGTGTAACAGTACTGATTTGCCAGAGCTTGAGATCATCAGCTTATTGGAGGAGCAGCTGCCTGTCTACAAGCTGAGGGCTGACACCATCTTCGGCTACGATCAAGATGACTGGGTCCACACACCACTGGTGGATCCTTGTGCTGCCCTCGACCTGACCACTGAGCAGATAGAGGAGACCCTCAAATACTTCTGTGAGTTAATCACTGTCTCTCTTACACACCCACCCCCACACCTGAGGCAGGGATGGGGCACAAATAGATGACCATCTGCCTCACACAGCGTGGGTGTGATGGCTGGTCACGGCTGTCACAACAAACAGACACGAGGACTGTCTCTCGTTTGTTTCCATTTTCCCATACAGGTTTGTACGACCTCTGTTGTGTTAACACTAACATTGGTTTCGTGGCTCGCTCTCTGAACAGTACCTGCTGTTAGTCACATACACTCGTGTTCACTCTCCCAGAATCAAATAAGGGCACGGCCCAGGCTCACATTAAGCACATGCACACACTGCGTGGGGGTCAAGACACTACGGAGTGTTGTCTAATGTTCTCAACATAAATAATTAAGATGTGACTTATGTCTGCTTGACGACTGACTCAGGGTAAAATACTGTATGTTCTAAAATGGAACTAAGGAGTTGTAAATAGATCTTAGAAATAAAACTGCAGTGTAATGTTTACTGCTTGGACATGGAGACTGTGGCATTGACGTTGACCTTCACCTACGCTGCTCAGAGAGGAAGTAACAAGTCAATGTCAATGTAAAACCAGAGTAAGAAAGTCTGCACGCTTTTTTTTAAAGCATTTCCTTCTCAATACATTATTTTTGTGATAATCAATAACTTTATTATTATGTCAAGCACAGTGTAGGTCATTTTTGCCATGTTCTGTTTTCCTGGTAATGAAGCAGTGACAGTGGACCAGATTTGAGATTACCATGTCAGTTGTATTTGTCTGAGTTGTAACACCTCGTCAGCAATCTATGGATTATGAAGAGTTTTTAAATCTGTTTAAATAAACTGTCAGTTGAGGTTGAAACAGTTATTGACATGGAGGCAGCTGACCAACAGAGGGCAACGGCGGGGCACGAGACAACCTTCTACGTCTTCTAAATAACCCATATTATGAATACTAGACAAGATTTGGGTTTTGAACAAGGTTAGCGGCCGAGGCCAATTGAAATAGAACATAATACAAAAACTAATACGGATTAGTTTTTCTATCAATAGTAGGCCTCCCCAGCCTGGGTATTTTGAACAAGGTTAGCGGCCGAAGCCAATTGAAATAGAACACAATACAAAAACTAATACGGATTCGTTTTTCTATCAATACCCAGCCTGGGTTTCTGGGTTGAACTATTGTTTACATTATCCACATAGGAATTAACATGATATTGTAGAGTTTGTATTTGAGAACTATTGTTTACATTATCCACATAAGAATTAACATGATACAGTTTGTATTTGACCCTTTATGCTGCAGTCCTTCCCATTTAACTAGGCTTGAAACTGGCATCATAGGAGAATAATGACTGTGGTGTTGTCTTCTTGAGGCAAAGTGTCGTGCACAGGGACACAAGGAAATGCAGCGAAAATTAACAACTGGTTGTAAAACAGTCCGGGCCCCTGAGCCCTACACATCCTGTTAATAATCAATATAGTGACGTGTTCAACTGTAACACACCTTATTGAGAGCTCTAATGCCATCTCCTGTTTGACAGTGGACTGTTAAGATTTCGGCTTTGTGTGTTTAGTTACGGTCAATCTTCTAAAAAATGTAATTTCGTGTGTTTATGGGGAAAAATGTCATGAAAAAGATCCACTGCCATCTGATTTCTGAAGCATGTGTTAATGTCCTCACTTCCGAGCAGAACCAGCCAATCGCTGAACACACTGCTACATTCATTCATTTTGACTTTAGCCACGTCACCACTGCCAACGCTACACTTGTTTCTGCTAACACTTCTCTCTACATGGAGCTGAGCCTTCAGCCTCGGGAGCTTGTTACTATAGCAACCACACAGAAGGACAAAGTGGAGGAGAGGGCGGAGGAGGCTGACAGGAAGCCAGAAAAACTGCTCTTGCCTAATTGGCTGTAGCCTTTTTCTAACTCCACCCACTACACCGTGTCATGATTTTCATCACTTCTGCTGCAAAACCCGTGACTGCTGCTGCTTCTGATGCTGCGGCTGCTCACTCGCTGTATCTGTGTTGAGTCATTGTATGGGATTTCAATATGTGGAGGCAGAAATGTCACTGGGAAAGGGATGTTGGGAAACAGAAGGGCAAAGAAGGTTTGGACAGAAGGACACGTTCCCACACTGGAAGAAATATGAATTGACTGAGGACATGTGAAGAGGATTGGAGGGTAATCTGACAAATTCTGTGAAGATCTGAAGCCAGAAAGGTAAAGTGACTGAGTGATGAAACAGTATGACAAGGTTACAGAGTCTGTGGTGATCTGACAACAAATGATCTGATACCATGGATGACAACTGCCTGAGTCGATTGTAGTTCCCTTGGATGTCAGGAGAAAAAACTTCACCACTGAGGAAATGATTTGAATAACTGAAGTGAATGTGGATCCTGGATTGACTCTCACCAACACCTCACTTCACCTCACTGGGAACCACTGAGGATGCTGCGATAGCACAACTGGACACCGATGGTTTAACCAGTGGACAAAAATGCTACAGCTGAGTTTGCTGGGACACTGGAGACAATACAGCTTTGTGACAGAGCTGTGAGGATGAAGAGACGAGGTCAAAGGTTTGTCAAGGCAGATTACTATGAACTGGACTGGTACTATGAAGAGTGTACCGATGGTAAGACAACAGTCGGTCGTAGACAATGATACATCACTTTTGAAGGGTATCTTACTGTAAGGTGGACAGTGTAAAGATGAGCAACATTTAAGGTGTTGTGCAACTATCTCTGGTGGTTCAGAGGCAGAGTTGGAAACTGAGTTATGGTTTGTTTTTGGCTAAATTGCTTAGAAACTGAGTTATGGTTTGTTTTTGGCTTCATAATTTAGTCACATCCATATATGAGGAGTTTACCGTAATTAAGATCAAGCTATTTACTAAACTCTACAGTAATATTTTCCATGGCTGGTGTCAATCACTGGCATCTCTGGCTGTTTCTACATCCTTTCTCTGAGAGTCTTTATGTGGCGTCTGTGTTTGTCTGCTTTCTTTAGGTTTTACCTATTGTGGTCCATATGTGTAATTTAACAATTGAAAACTTAAATTTGTCCTTTACAGACAGCAGTGTGATCAGCTGTTATAATTGTCATGTACATTGATGTGTATGAAATACATGAAGAGAAATGTCTGCAGCAGGAGTTACATAACAGTTTAATTCACTTCCTGAAGCTGCAATATCTCCTGATGTTTTGCTATAGCAACCCCTCACCCGCCCCAACCTCCCCCGTGAGATTACCCAGTCTATGTACTGTAGATACTGACAACAGTTCATTAGTATAGTATCATTACTGCCATGAAACTAATGACATAAACCCTGGTGGAGTGGGTTGTTTTGAGAGGTAGAAATAGAAAGCAGCTGGCTGGTTCTTATTCTGAGATATGCAGGGGAGGGATGTGGAAGTAGGTTGGCTTATATTTAGCCCAGGGATTTGAATGTTGCCACAAACCCCTCCTCGCTGACACTCCACTGACTATTCTTTGGCACCCAGGAAACCTGTCTAACAAAAGGACTGGACGGTCAGACCCTAACTATAGCAGAGGCCAGGGGGTGGAAACAGAGCAGCCTATTGTTTCAGTGTGTGTGACAGGATGATGGGATTGTGACGGGAAACAAAATAAGGAGAACACTTCAAGTATTGTTGTGCGCACTTTAGCTGTGACATGGCAATTCAAATGTTGGAGAGTGAAGCCGGAATGTGATCAGAGAAGCAATGAGAGTGAGAGAGCCCAGCTTTAGGACCACTGATGGAGGTTTTGTCCAGATCTCTTTTGTTGTCCAAAGAATTGCACCCACAGGACCATTGAGTTGAGTTACTCAAGCATGCAGGACGGTAGTGGACTGGAATCCAGTTTCTGGAGCAATTACATTAATTATAACTGTTGAGCAGTGACTAATGAACAGAATGTTGGGCCACTTTGACGTAACCCACATTTTGTTGGCGTTGTGGCAAAGAAGTCTGTTGTGTTCAGTGTCAGTGGACATGTGCGACATTCATGAATAAATAAGAACATAATTGAAAAGGCATTCTTAGTTTACTCTTCCTAATGCCTTTGAATGTTGTTACTAAAAAAAATACTTCAACTTGAGTATTTAGGATATTACTATTTATCTTTCACATCAAGTAATGAAGATTATTCTGTAAACGCTGCTCCTTTATTTTCTACTTTTACATTACTTCAGTCTGTGGCCCCACCCTGAGAACAGGTGCATGTCCCTTATTGTTTACACTGTCTTGTCTCCATAGAGGCAGAACAGACTGTACCAAAGTGTTGTTCCAATGGGGGAGGTAAACAAAAACCTGACTTTTATAGGTCTGTTACAAACGGTCACTATTCAGCTCCACTTTCCTCATGCAGACGCAGAACTACTTTACAAATCACTCTGTGGAGAGGGCATGTGTCTGTGATCTGTGATTATGGACAAACAGAAAAATATGGCAGATTAGAAGATTAAATCCTCTGCTGCGTTGTGTTTAATCCGCCTCAACTCGGCTAAATGACATTCAGACGGACAGCTTTGATCAAACGAGTGAAGTCAATGAAGTCTACCCTCCTGATCGTGGTAAAATAGAGCAGGCCATTTACTGGCCAGTCACATGGCAGAGGGGGAGGAGTCAGAGCAGTTATCTGGTCCAGTCACAGATCTACAACAGAGGACATAAGATACACACACTTTTTGAAACACTTCATCCACTGGGATATACATACAGAGGAGTACACACCATGGCCTGTACTGAGGAAGAGGAATTTCTAGGCTTCTCCCTCCGTATTTTCAACAAAAGTGTAGTTTCTTATCCAGGCACACCCAAACAGGGCAGTGATTCATAGACTGAAAATAAGATACACTCCCTCAGATGCATTCTTCTCAGGTAGAATCTATGGCGTTGAGCCAGCAGTTTTTGTGGTTATCTGGTTAGCTGGAGTGCCAGAGTGGGGCATGGCACTGGTTACACCTGCTGAGGACCAGCTGGACATCTCCTACTTG